CGCCTCGTGGCCTCTGAATGAAGCCGCCTGGAGTGCGTTGCCGTACCGTCCACCCTGCGCGTTGACCTCAGCGCCATTGTCAATCAGTAGTTCTGCTGTCACATAATGTCCGTTCTCTACTGCAAGGTAAAGTGAAGTCCGATCCCAGCTATCCTTCTTTGCTATTTCAGACCTTCTCTCTTTTTCTTCAGGCGAGAGTATAGCCTCTAGAGTAAGTGACAATCCAAACCTAGCCGCAAGATGTGCTCCTGTACTGTTCTTTGGATATCCCTGACTATAACCGCTGTGCTTGTGCGTCGGGGCGAAGAGCACCTGGGTAGCGCTCGAAACTAAGTCGTTATTAGAAAGGAATGAACAAGCTAGTGCGCACGCATCGCTTTCCACCTTCACAATATGCTTGCCCCAATACTTAGCAGCATAGTCTAGGAGCTTGCTTTCCTCCAGTCTTTCTTCAAACTCTTCGTCAAAGAAGCAGCTGCCCGTTTTGAACAGATCGAACGATAGGAAAGTAAGGCATGTCAGAGCAATGTGCAGCGCAGCACCGGAATACCATGTCTCACTAATACGCTTAAAGTACTCTTGCGTAGTGTAGTGCACAAGACGAACAATGGCGCTCTCTTTATCAATAACAACAAGACCGGCGCACACAGATAGCAAATCCTCAATGTCTGGCACGTTATCAGGATCGAGTTCCGATTCTCCGCGCTCCACCGCTAGGGCACAGCACAACTCTGCTGTAGTAAGCGGTCTCCTTGCGTACGTAATCCACGACAGTACTTTCTTAGCTAGCGCTTGATCTCCGTCTAGTTGGCCGTCTATACGTTGGATAGCCTCGTTATATGCATCCTCAAGCGCAGCCGAGCCTTTCTTGAATTGGTCTAACGTAGACTTGACTTCTTTTACTGTTCGCTTGTCTACGAGCGAGTCCGTGTGCAGACGGGCAAGAAGGAACCTAGAAACCAGTCAGCCGGTGCTATTTCCCCACGTTGATTAGAACGCATACATCCCATCTACCGCCTCAGCTAACCTTTCTTGTATTGTGGCCTGCAGCGCAAGGTCGCGCTGAACACATCTAGGCAGTCGATGTATCTGACCAGCTACAAATCGCTTCACGTCTTCTTTGCTGGCCCTAACTTCAAGCCACGCTGTATCTCTAAAGGCATCCTCCACTTCGGGTATGAACCGCGCAGTAGCCATAAGGCGGACATCTTGCCCTGCTTGCAAGTCTCGCAGCTTGGCCAGAAACTGACGACGCGTGCCGTCATTGGCTCGGCACTCATCTAGAGCATCCACCACGATATAGACAGCAGAGTACTTTGATAGTATCTCTTTGAGGGCGCCTAGCGTTTCTTCGAGCGACGGCTTCGTACCTCGATCGGCATGCTGCTTGTGCAGTCGCTCCACAGGCCCCGCTGTTGACGGCCGACCCTGCACGAGCTGCTTAACAATGGCTGCCAGCATACCGTAGACATCCTGCTCTTCCTGTGCTTTGTAGTTGCAGTACACGTATGCAACTCCGACTGAGCTGCTCTGCACAGACTTGAGGAGGCGGTCGATCACTATCGCAGCCACCATGGTCTTGCCAGCGCCAGGCATTCCTGGACAGAAAAGAGTGCCCTTGGGCGCACTGAGCCACGTTGTAAACTCAGGCGCGTCGAGAAACCACTGGCCTGTGCCCTCCTGTCTGCGACGTATGATGTCCGATTGTTGTGCGGGGTAGTTAGTAGGCGAGATCCATCCCACTATCTTACTATGCTTTGCATCGACTTGATCTTGCTGGATCTCGTCTACTCGAGAATGTATTACGGGCATGTGTGTTCGGAGGACCTTAGTATCATCTTTAATGGCTTGGGATAGTTTACTCCTTAAGGTTAGTGATATAACTTTATAGTGCTACTATGTAGGCTTACAAATGGTCCATCTGTAATGCGATCCCCACGAGCCCTTTTAAACGCTCGATTCGGACTAATATGCTAGTGATTTCTTCCTTCTTAAACTTCCATACTAGCGCTTTGCCTGCCTGCTGTAATCGACCTCTATCTGTCATTGTAGTCTGCAATTCTTCTAGCGCTTGCTTGAACTGGTCGAGTGGTCCATTCTCGACTCCAAGGGCTCGGACAGCGGTGTACCACGGTTCGTCGGCACTTCCCACTTCAAGACGGAACCTTAAATTGGTGAGGAGACTGTGTACGTTTGAGGCCTCAATCTCGCACTTTGCACGATCTTTTGAAGCATCCTTGACGTCGTTGAGATATCCAAGGACCTTGGCCGAGAGCTGGAGAACTGCGATGATGCTGGCTGTGACGCTGAGCGGATCCATACCCAGACAAGATTGACGGACGAAGCAACTGCGTGTGAAGAGCTACTGGAGAAGTGAGTGGCATCGTGTAGGCAGCGAAGCTGTAAGCGCTTGAGCTAAGGTCGCCGCAGCAAGGCTGAACAGCTGCATGTGATGTGCGTTGTCCTGCGCCGCATCTTATCGATAAAACACATCAGGCGCAATCATGCAGCAAGTTGACTACCCTATCCACGAGAGGCCTCTTCCATTCCGCATTCAATGGCAAGAAAACAACCTCTTTTTTGGGGGCAAGCTTTATGAAGTGTCTTATGGACGCGGCAGGCGTTGACTGGCGATACATTGTGGCAGGTATTTCTTGAGTTGCTCTAGTCACGTGTATCAAAGGCAGGTATGGCTGTCTGCATAGCTTAAGCGTTCCTTTTTGTCCATATCAAATACCGTGTAGCACTTAGCTGTTTAATAGTTGCACAAGTTTAATCAACGACTTACGTTCCGATCACTAGAAGCGTGGATAGAAGGTCACATGATGGCTATTTTCAGTAACTTTGTTGCCAGGTGTCCTGCCAGCAGCCACTCCTACCGTTCCCGTCACATAACCACAACCACATAGTAGACATGGATCGAGCCAGCTAGGTGCTGGTGCAACCCCTCCCTTCAAACGTGCCCAGAACATATGCTGTCCTATCAGAACGGGGCAACGTGCCTATCTCAACACTCTGCCATCGCAAGCACGGACGACGCTCGAAAGAGGAACTGGCGGAGAGCCGGCAATACCTCACCCCTGAAGAGGAAAAAGCCCTCGTAAAATTTGTGTTACTAATATCTAGTCTCGGGCACCCTATGCGAATCAAATCCATGCGCTCGCTAGCGTTCCGAATCGCCCTCCATCGATCCACGAACAGACCCCTCAAGCCTCCAGGGTCTAATTGGCCGAAAGCCTTTGAGAAACGCCATGTAGAACTGAGAGCGAGGCGGGTGAAGGCTATGGACTGGAAGCGACACGATGATCATATATACGATAAGGTCACAGAGTGGTTTCAAGTTATAGGCAAAGTTCTGGCAGACCTAAGTATTCTGCCAGAAAATGTCTACAATATGGACGAGACTGGAGTCATGCTCAGTATGCTTGGTTCTGTCAAAGTTCTTGTAGGTAAGGACGATATTCGAGACTATAGGGGCGCTGGCGTTAGGCGCCAGATGGTATCCTCTATCAAATGCGTAAGCGCGGACGGTAGGTCGCTGCCGTCGCTCGTCATCTGGCCAGCTTCAACACATAGAAGCAACTGGACTACGTACCTAACTCCTAGATGGCATTTCAGGCATTCTGAAAATGGGATCAGCCTTAAATGGCTGATGCGTGTTTTTGACCCCCAAACCAAGGACAATCTATGACTTGTTAGCATTAGCTTAGCTTATCTGCTTATGTGTGTAAATTACACCTACTCGATTACGTACAGCTGATGTTATAAATTGAGGCTAGCTTTTATCGGATCGCTCTATCTAAAGCCCAGACTGGGGTGGCAATCTTGCATGAATCTATGTACTGTGATAGCCACAGTGCTTTATGTAGCTTCCTATTATCTAGACACAACTCTAGCGCTCACGCGCTATCCATCATGTGTGTTTTTTTTTACAGTGAATATCTCACAGATAATTGTGTTATGAGGATTCTCGTTCTTGGCAAGAAACAAGGCTCCTCGCGAGATCAGCAACACGGCTGTAAAGCTTGTGTAATTTTCGAATCAAAGTAGACCAATGTGCAGAAGAAGGGCCCTAGAACATGGCCTTAAAGCGCTCCTACGTTAATATAACGGGTAACTTAGATAGAGGTCGAGCTGCTCAACGAGAGAATTCTCGCTTACTTTTCGACAAGAGTGTTTTTCTACCAACAGTGAGTGACGTTACACCCACTCGCACTTTCCTTGATTCGGCTCTCTCCCCAGCTTCGGTGTCATTTTCCACCATATTGATCTTTTCAATCATCCCATTCGAATGCTATTATCAAAAGAACTGGGACTGTAGCTGTGCCACCCCGGGACGCGCTATCCAAATGCGTCGAACTTCTCGAGTTGAATATTTCCAGCGTCATGAACGGACGATTGAGAGTTCTTGCAATTAGTAGTGCGACAAAACAACCCCAATGAATCTGCCTACCGATCTGCGTATCGCTATTGCCTTCCTACATGCGCTACCTGGGTGCCAATGGTGGCAAAGCTTCACTTACTTGATTCACGAGGCAAACGCTGGAGAAACGATTGTCCATACTCAATTCACCTTTCACACCTTCGCTCTAGCCGCACGGGTCTGCATCCCGTACTATTGATTCAACCATCTGGCAGCCGCGACGAACAACAACCACAACCTCGTGCAATTTTAGATAACCCACCATGCCGCCAGCAGCACCGCAAACCGGCACCATGAGCGCAGCCGAGGTAGTCGAGAAGCCGATGAACATCAGGCGAGTCCATACTGGCGAGCCATATTGCGATCTATAGCTCACCTGTGCCGCGAAATGTTCTCCGGCCTTACAGTTGTCAGAATTCACAAGTAAGCAATGTAGATAGGTACAAGACGGGCAACCAAGTAGATTGTAGGAGAGACGAATCGCTGTCGGATCTACTATCCCGTGACCTGGAAGATGAGGTCCAGGATACCCAGGGTTCTAACAACAGTCATCGTCAAGGTTACTTTGAAAGACGTCTCTTCTTTAGTATTTGACCCGTTCGTTGCCTGGCTGTATGCACATAACTTCGCACTGCCCAGTTCCACGTACTGGTACAAGAGCAGCTCTGCAGCCGGGTCCAAGGACCGCCACCTTATGTAGCTCTGCGTTCTCGCTCCTCGATTCATTCTTCCGAACTTCGGACAGGTCATCACGTGGGCGGCTGTGGAATCCTTTGACAGCAAATTAGTAAAGGGCAATATGAGGGAGTCTTTCTACTCCACAGTCATCTACGCCTATGCATCACTCCGGAAGAGCCGCTCATCTTGGAAGCTTCTTGCCCATGTATTCTCTTCCAATTGGTCCTCTCACAAGCACAAATATATTCGCATGCATGTTAAAGAAGACTTCGCTCAGTTTCCAGCAGACTTCATGCTTGATAACAGAGTACTCTACATGGATGGCATCGGAGAAACACCCGCTTCTATCTGCAGATGGATACCTCATCCACGGCAGCATCGGCGAATGGACACAGAGCACCGATAATGAAGAGGCATGATAGTAAGTCTAACGCTGAAACACGTCGATCAATTTCACATCAAATGCACAGTGAGATATATCCAAACCTTCCATAATGCATATATGTTTACCATACCTGCACGGCTCTATTACTTAGCGTTGGACCTTCACTTATCTCTCAGCTTCCTTTACCTCTTACCTGTGTCCCCGCCTCTCGGCCCGTAAATATAACCTCGACTAACCTCCACCCACCAACCTTTCCAATCAACCTCAAACCCTCTCGACGCCATGACTGAAGGCAAGATCGTCGAGAAACGCCCCAAACCCAATTTTGGGTAAGCCATTTCTTCTCCACGAAAACGATATCGTTAACCTTTCTCCAGGGAGACATTTTGGAGTCCCAGTGACTATCAACGTTCGCCCGTCGCTCAAGAAGTTCTACATCCACAAGCCTCTCATCATTCAGCATTCGTGAGTTCCTACGCCGAGTTTTCAACAGGTACTCTGGGATGAATATGGGAGATTTTGAACTGTGTCTTCGAAGCTACCCGAGAAGCGAATTCAATTCGGAGATCTTAAAAGAACGATAGGGAGACCAATCGCGAGTTGCATCAGGCTCCCCAATGCCTACACATAACTGCGGCAAAAAATTCCGGGTTTCAACTTGCAACGATTCCTGCTTAGTTAAGTATTTCACTTCATTGTGGGGTTATTCGGGTATAAATCAAATACATATTCAATGAGGTGTGGAGATGCAAAGATGGATCTTTTGCGTGGAAGCAGTGAGAGAGCACAGCGAGGGAGTAAGGCAATCAACAACACGTAGTTCCAAAAATTTAAAAGTTTTCCATACCGAAAAGAAGAAATACGGATTCTGTGCATGACTTCCTTGTTGGAGGCCATGAGCTGGAGGTGTCATGGGCGCATTGATGACGTCAGTGTGACCGGCACAGTAACACTACACCTCACGTCCAAGCAATCACCTAGATGTCAGAGATATCCTATATATCCTCTTTCATTCTTAGAAACCTTTTCAACCTAGTACGTAGAGATGTCGTCCTCGAAGTCACCCGCAGACAATCCCGCCATCATACCCGATCCCAACCAGAACGGCTCCATCATCCGCAAAGCCTTCCTCCTCGAAGCCATCGCTAACCTCTTCACAATTCCGCTCATATCAAATACGCGCTTTATCCTGTCTCTCTTGCTCTTGCATCCCTCCGACATCAACCCGGCTTCCATCCTATTCGCACGACTCTTCGGCGGCATCATCGTCGGAGGCCTGACGTCCGCGTTGCTGATCGGTGCTACCAATAGCTGGAATGGAATCGAATTCCGCAGGACGACGTATGTTTTGTTGGGCCTCGGGGAGGCGTTCTTGATTCCGATGCTGGCGTTGGAAGCGGCGAAGGGAGGGAGGGACGCGGCGTTGAGTACGACGGTCGCTGTTGGTAGCATTGGATTGCTGCTGCCACCGCTGATGTGGCGAGGCTACTTTTTATTCGTGAGGCCGGATTTTATCATGCTTTGGGATCGATCTTTTGAACCCATTACAATCATACATTTAATCGACTGTCGGTAGGTCGTTGTAGCATGGGAACCATCTCGTTCCATGGTTCATATTCTTCCTTTGAGTGGACTCAGTATGGTCGATCATCGATCGCATCCCAATATTCTTGTTGTCCGGGGTCTTCTGAGCTGCACACGTCAGACGCCACGAGATGGGTAATGTGATTAGGTGAAATATTTCAGCGTGTTTATCATCATTGCTACGCCGTCTACGCCAGTAGCTATGCTATCCTTTTGTGGTATGCCTAACATAATGCGGCCACCCCTTCCAATCCGAACGAAACATAAAGCTACATCGACAAAATCAGCCTGGAACTATGGCCGATACTCAGTGCCTTCGAACTCTTTGATCGTACCGAAATTTACGCCTTGACCTTCTTCGTCTTCTTGGTAGTGGTCGTGGTGGTGCCGTTCTGGGAGACCTTGCGCTTCTTCTCTACGATCACCTCGGTCTCGGGTTGCACTTCCTTCTTCGCCTTCTTAGACTTGGGTGCTGAGACCACGGCCTCCTCTGTAGCCTCCGGGACGACGTCAGACTTGCGCTTCTTGTCCTTGGACGATTTCTTAGGCTTCTTTTCGGCGACCTCCTCGGTGGCAACGACAGCTTCGGCCTTGGGCTCAACATCAGCCTGGAAACAATTTGTTAGCATCCACGTTTCCTATGGTCGATGCGGAGCAACTCACCTCTACTGCAGTTAATTGTGCCTGAGCAGGAGCATCCTCTACGGCAGCGGCCTTCTTGGGCACCGCGTCAACAGCCTTCACAGGAGGCGCGTTGAACTCATAGCCAAACTCCTCCAGCAATCCCTTGGCCTTGCCAGTCCGCCTCTTGTTCTCGCGCTGCACTCGCTTCTCCCATACGTCGCGTGTTGCGCCGCGAGCCAAGGCAGTGCGTTCCTTCTGATTTCGCGGGTCGATCTTGAAGCGCTCGTTTGCGCCCTTGAACAGCTCGGGATGGACCTGCTCAGATGGGACTACGCGACACTGTAGGATATGTCCGAACATGAGGTAATTGTGCATAGTCTTGGCGACGATGTCGGCAACTTCGCCGTTCGCGAATTCGATGAAGGCAAAGTGCTTGGAGGCTCCAGTCTTCTTGTTGCGGGAGAGGCGTAGACGAAGGACCCTGCCGAATTGGCTAAAGTACTTCTTCATCTGGGGTTCGAAGAAGCCGTGGGGAACGCGCCTGGATAAGATTAGCAAAACGATCGGTGTGTACCATGGTATACAGGTAAACTCACCCAAGGTAGATAACAGCAGGAGCAGCATCCTTTCGTGCCTGGTCCAGCTCCCTGCGCTTCTTCTTGCTGATTTCTTGGCCTGCCTCAACTAGAGCATCCTCATCAAACTCCTCGTCTTCTTTCTCCAAGTCACTCTCATCACGATCACTCTCGAAGCCGGCGAGCAGCGCGGCGGTCTGGTCGTCCAAGGCCTCCTCATCCTCTGCATCGTTGCCTTCTGCAGCGACCGTCTCTTCCGCATCTACCACAGGCGCTTCCTCCTTCTTTGACTTCTTTCCCTTCTTCGGCTTCTTCTCCTCTACTGCTACAGCAACCTCCTCCACTACGGGCTCTGCTGCCGGCTCCTCGACGGCATCCGCTTTCTTGGACTTTTTCGACTTCTTCTCCTTCTTAGGCTTTAGCTCTTCCGCACCAGCGAGGGCGTCCTGGATATCCTCCTCCGTCACGGCGACCTCGACCTCGGCCGCCTTCTTGCCCTTCTTCGACTTCTTGGCAGGTTTCGCGTCGCTTTCGGGCGCAGCTTCGACAGCGGGAGCAGGCTCTTTGGTCTTCTTTGCCTTCTTCGCAGGCTTCTCGGTCACAACAACAGTCTCCTCTACTGTGACAGTCTCCGCTGGCTCGATGGCCTTGCTCTTCTTGGATTTTTTCGGCTTAGGAGCTTCTACAGCCGTGGGGGCTTCGACTGCGATGTCATCCGATTTACGCGCCTTCTTCGCCTTGGGCTGTGCGTCGGTCGCGCCTGCAGACATAGGTTAGCAGCAGACCATTGACAGGAAGAAAGTATTAGGGTACGAAAAGCAGCACGATGTACAGTCGCTGAATGATCACACATACCTTTGCGCTTCTTGCTCTGGATGTCTGAGGCAGCCATTGTGGTGATTGTAGCTGGTCGCGTTGTTGTTTTCGTTGAATGTTCACCGCACGAAAAGTTTCGTGGAGGAAGAGCTCGAGCCGCCAACTTTTTTGGCGCTAAGACCCGCTAGTGCCAAGGATCCACCGACTGTGAACGGCAGCTGATAGGAACCAACGCAGAACCAAATAAATCCGCAGAACACTACTCGACTTCAAGTTGAATCAGAGTCATCTGCAAGCTCAGTTCAACATACGAAACCCTTGATCGCACTTTGAGTTTCTCACCAATAACCCCGACAATCCAACACACAGGCCCGGATCGCAACGCCATGGCACCCGGCATCAGCCTGGACGACCGTAGTGCGTGGGACGACTCAGCTCTGATAAACTCATGGGACGATGCCGTAGCAGAATATCAGGTTTGTCGGCTGCCATCCCGCGAGTCGAATATAGCATACTAAAGAAAGCTAGAAATACCACAGCATCTCCAAGTCAGGCAAGCGGCTAGAGGATTTGTTGACAGAGGAAGAGCTGAAGAAAGTGCGAAGGTAAAGCGTCCACCGTATAGTCAAACATCGACTAATCAACATAGTGACAACGGAGATGTCTTGGACGAGACTGGGGACGGCGCAGATCCGCGCACCGACGCGGATGCCACTGATTCCGCACTGCCACAAGTGCAGGCCAATGGTGTAGGACAAGGTGGAGCGGATGCGGCGCATGTGAAGGTATGGTTTGACATCTTGACAGGATGTGATTGCCATGGCGATCAGAAACTGACCGCAAACAGGATGGAGCAGCACCCGTTGCCCAAGGAAGCGCACAAGCGTCAGGAACAGAGCTGCTGCATGATGGACCAATTTCAGCTTCGATGCCGCAGGCTCTTCTCGGATCAGGTAAGTGACAGAGCCGGGTCGACGGCACGTCTCCTGCCTAGAACATTCCGCTTGGCATGAAACATCTCTAACATCTTGTCAGTGCAAGACGAGAACATGAAAAACCTGATGATGTCCTGGTACTATGCCGGGTACTATACTGGGCTGGTCGCTGGGCAGCAGCAACGTGCGCCCGATAGCGCAGCGCAGCAGACCCAGAAGTAATGACGAGGCTGGAAAACGACGATTCAGGCCTGTGGATCTGAAAGTTTGATACCTGCCAGCCGATTTGACAGGGCTCTAGTCTCGTACAAAATAGAACATCGTAAAAGGCTGGGCCAATCAGGAGGTGAGCGCCCGATTTATAGACCCTCGCCCTGCTGACGGGGAATAGCTCGTGCCTCACGACCTCAGAAGGTAGGGCTGCGAGATTGTTTTGCCTCAGCGCGTTATGCAGATGAGCATCTGGGTGCCTTTCCGTCCAGGCATCTCCACCGAACCGCCTGCTTGTCAAAAGCTTAGCGCTGCCCGATCGGGGCTGCGGGGGTGCAAGCGAGACAGTGCTGCGACACTTTCGCGACAACTTCAGACCCATCTCACACAAACCTGGCGTCAGGCACGGACGCCACGCGAGCCATGCCTCATTGCCTCAGTAAAATCAGATCATTTTCGCGGCTGGCTTGCGCACACTTACCGGCTCCTGCCAAGCCGAAGGGGTGTGATGTTTCGGTGCCTGTGCCGCAGGTTCACGACCCCCAGACTCTCAATTTCATGCGGCGATAAAGGCAATGGATAGTCCCGACCAGCTCCCTCTTTTCTGCCTTCTATCCTCCCTTAACTGTGTCGGACCGGTGCCCAAACCATTTCATTCCCTTCCACTCTGGTTTTCGCTTCATACTCGCAACTATTGAGCCGGCCCTCATCGTGTGCCTTTCGGTCTTTTTCTCTTCGACTTCCCCAGTTTAGTACTTTGTCTGCAGTGCAGGCGCTTCAATCTTTCGCCCTTTTACGACAACCAGAACCTTAGTCATAATGAAGTACATTTCGGCATTCCCGCTGGTGGCCACCCTCGCTGCCGCTCAGATGCAGGTCATGAGCCTTGCGCCAGCACCGTCCGGTCCCACAACACATAGCGTACGCTATCAATGTCTACTTGTTCAGAATAAAACTAACAGCGAAAAGGTTACTGTTGGTGGAATGAAGGCCGTCTCGACCGGAATGGCCCCAGTACTAGGATTTTCTCCCGAGTCTATCACCGCCGCCGTCGGCGACACCGTAGAGTTCGTGTTCATGCAGAAGAACCACACCGCGACCCAATCGACATTCGCCGAGCCCTGCAAGGCAATGGAGGGAGGAAAGGACTCGGGCTTCATGCCTAACCCTGAAGGAAAGGCGGGTGTCACTTGGAACATCACCGTCGACAGCACGGATGCGCAGTGTAAGCAGCACTATCAATCGCAAAACAGAACTGGTTGCTAATTATCATCAAGGGTTCTACTGCAAGCAAGCCACCCACTGCGGCGTCGGCATGGTCTTCGCCATCAACGCTGCCACCACTGGCGACAAGACCATGTCCGTCTTCAAAAACAACGCCATCAACAAGAACAGCACCAAATCCGCCAACCTCGGCCTCGCTCCCATCCAGTCTGTCAACCCCGCTGCTGCCGCCGCACCCTCCACCGTGACCGTCGCCGCCGCTTCTGGTACCGGCGCCGCCGGCTCCACCGCCACTGTCGTTGCAGGCCAGGGCACCGACACCGCCGGCAACGCCTGCGGCTGCCAATGTCTCTGCGGCGTCAACTCCTTCCCGCAGGCGGCTGCCGTTAACAACTTCGGTGGCTTCGCGGGTATGCTGCCGTAGACGCATTGCATGACTAGGAACGGCTGGGGACGGTAATGTGGGAGATCCGGGGATGTATGATGAGAGGTTGCATGACGGGTTCGATGGCTTCTGGACGGCTTCACCCTTATACCAATTTTGCTGTTTCTTGGAGGTGGGCGTTTCGCATTATACCGTATGTAATCCATGACCGCGCGGCACGTGGATGGTTGCCTTGTAAAGCTTAAACATAGAACCTTCAATGAAGCTCTCCGAGAGATGACACTTCAACTCTTTGTCCTTGTTATGCAGAAGTAAGTGATCATGGTCAAGTAGAAGGCGCAGGTGGGCAGTGGTGCATCACAGCAGCTCAGGTCATAATTGATTCATTGCGTACTCAAGCCCACCGTTCAGCACGCAGCCAGCCCCAAATCCAAATCTATAGAATCCAAACCCTACCCGCTCCCATCGCCCCTCAAGATTTGCGCCCGTGTAATGCATATCGCTCGCCGTTCGCAATCCAAGATGCGCAATCAGTCCCCCATTCCAACGCCTCACTTCTTCTCCGCCGCCTTCTTGGCTTCGGCTACACACGTGTTAGCGCATCGCCCATCTATTCCGCAGGAGGACCCAAAGTAAAGCACATAGTTGATTCTGGAAGTACTCACCAGCAGCCTGCTTAGCGCGCATGATAGCCGCCGTGTCCTCCTTCGCCTTGGCAAATTCCGTGCCAGACATCTGCGCGCGTTAGAACACCCTTTTTCCTTTCCACCCCGCTCCTCAGCGACGTACGTTGTTTCCCTTTTTCTGCATATACCCATTAGCATCTTATTGTCATGCGTGGCGTGGCCCACAGCTGATAAGCCGCGGCGAACAATCGTACCTTGCCAGCCTGCTCCTTGAGGTTCTTCTCGCGGGCTTTTTCGCGCTGGTTGCCGCGGGCCATGGCGGTAATTTGTCTGCAGACGGGTGTGCAGTAGGTTAAGGGTCTGTGTGTGTAGCAGAGGGGGTGCGCAATGCGGTGTGGCGGAGAGTTGGACTGGGGATTTGGGTTCCAGGTTGTCAGCGCCGTGAGGTTCGACGAAAATAGCGCCGAGGGGTCTGGACGCGCGAATTGGAGCGCGAGGGGAGCGGAGTGGGGCGCGGCTGCTGGCGCGCCACGTGAAGCAGCAGCGATCGTGAATGTTGGGCGGGTGTGAGCTGTCCATCCTCCTTAGATTGATTTGTCGATTCTGAGTTATCAGAGTTGTTGTACCTGTGTGAATATCGCGATGCTGCTGCTTCCTTACTTCGCAAGCTAGTCGCTCCTTCGAACAGCCTGCATAATGAACTCTGCCTCCGATGGCTGCCCATGCTTTCCAATACTTTTCGGGACACCACTTTCTGGTTCTTGTCAACGATCAGGGCCCCATGGATCATCCTTTCCCACAAATGCAGCATAGCGGTCTACAATATGATATCTGCGCAGGTAATGGTATCCAAGAGTGGGATTTTGATTCAATTTACACTTGGGATATCGCTGACTAGTAATACATGCTCCTGGTTCTTCGGCAAGACTCACGGTCTATCACTGCATCTTAAACAACTCCATCCTCTCTCGGGATAGAGGCGATTTATGTGCTGCCGAACGCCCTGCTGCATCGTTTCTTTTGGTAGTTGCTTGATGTCGGGGTTGCGGAATTCGGCTGCCCATGCATCATCGACGTGCCACGTCCTCTGCACATCGCACGCTGCGTCCGTCTTCGCGACTGGGTGCAGCATCTTGTCGTTAACGAAAGACGCGAAATGACGCTTGCTGAGGTGCGGTATAAGTGGGATTGCACCATTGAGTCGACGGCGCCAGCGCTGCTATTTTGGGAAATTCATTGACTGTGCCGAACACATCCTCAGATTTCTGCCAGCAGTACAATGTGTCGAAGTGAAAGCGGACCTATGATGGTTTCAGCACCGGGTGTAAGCCATCAGGGGAAACGAAACCACCCTCCCGACGACTGAGTACTGCATTAAATTCGAGTCACGTTAGGGAATGTGTTGAGGAGAAAGTCGCTCACGGGTAAGAAGAATTGCAAATGAGACTTGAGGTTACTTGCGGCACAGCACTCGCGTACTCGTGTCGATGGAGCTGCCAGGATGGTCTACCTCCCGTGCACGGCTAAGCCCAGGGCTACAATTGGCTAAACCAATGATGCGTGCGTATCTTGGGGGCCGTGCAGGTGAATACGGAAATCCAACGAACGGTCAACTTAATCGCAGCAGGAGGGCTGCATTACACACATTATCGGAATGTCTCCGTATGTCCTGTGCTATCGCCTTGCGATTGAGAGATTGTCAAACGGCTTGCCGAGCTTATCCTGGTGGCACAGCATCCTGTTGCATGCGGCACAAAGTACTTTCGCTTGTTGCGAGGTTCCAAAAACAAGTTACCCAAGTGGAGCTTCCGGTCGTTAGCTAGATTTCCTCCAATTTTAACTCAACTTGAATTTGTCTCAATATCTTATTGGGGTAGCCTTTAGGTCTTTCAAAATTATGAGCAGCGAAGCATGGTACGGCACGCGATCTGCGAGATCTCTTGACATCGACAAGTAATGAAACCTGAAACTCACGCAAGTAAGTCATGAGCAGGTTTAATTCTAACTTATTGTGAAGGACTTCTCCTGCTCTCGAGCAATGAATTGCATGTCAGGAGACTCCTATGACACCTCACAATCAACTTTTCTCAGATCGCCACAGAAGAGCCTTCATACTTATGCCGGTCCTACTCCTGCCCCTGCTATCTCGCTCATCGTCCTTGCTGGTCATGGCTATGACAACAACACCGTTCCTACAGCTACTCACCTTCAGCTCAATTCCTGACTACATACCAGCATGGTGAACTCAGCGAACCTAGACAAGCCAGATGCGAAATTATACCTAATGATTGAGAGTTGGTCGTATCTAGCACGAAGATGCACTTGGACATTTCCCTCGCAGTAAGTACAATCACCAAACCTCCCGCCTCAGTATCTCTCTAGCCGCAAGCAAAGCCCCGACCAGTGCCGTTCTATATTCAGACTCCGCCGCTCAAGGCCCCTACCGCCCCACACGCCAGGAAATGTTCACGGAGTTATTGCACCAATCGACGATGAGGTTGTATATGGATGGAATTAAGATCGAACAGAAGCAATTGCGTACATCCTGCGAAACAAGACGACTGGACGCATCCCAAAAAGCACTTCAGGCACACCCCAAGATTCGAACGGAGACAGCATATACATGGCCACGGTAGGCTCGCAACCCAGCTCTGCCGGTGCCGTGACGTCGAAAGAGGGAGATTACATAGAGTGTGGAATTGTAAATATTTAGGGCACGCGCAGTCTAATGTAGCGTGTCTCAACTTAGCATCAGGACAGGTTGGTTTTTTTTTACGGCTTGTCTGAACTTGGTGGAGTGAAACTCGATGGATGTCTTAGAACTTGGGTAACGACGCAGCATCGGCTACCAATTAATAGCGGGTTTAACAGCCCTCGAATGGGCGATACTCTACTCCATCAAATATCGACTTTTAACGCTTTCCCTCAATGCTCCTGACTTTTCATCTGTGGACATGGGTCCTTCTCTATAACGTGTAATACCCGATTACCCGTCGGTGCACGCCAATTCCTACCACACAACCACCATGTTCAATCACTTCCCCCAGGTGACATCCTTCCAATCATACTTTCTCGCCCTATACACCCGGCCGGCAGTTCGCCAATGCACGTCTATCTCAAGTTACCCCGGATTTTCACTCAGATAATTCTCCGGCCCGCATGTCAGTGTTCTACATGATGCCCTCCTCGGAATATCAACCCGTATCGTCTCGTGCAACGCAAATCCACACACCTTCGCCGGCCATGCACTTCCTAATCGCCCTTCTCCTAGTGCACTACGCGCTCGCTCATCCACCACCCTCCCCACGCCAGGCCACCGCACCGGCTACCTACACATCCAACCCCAGTATTGGCGGCGGCGCAAACTTCGTCGCCGAGTCAGCGCATTTCCGGGTCTACGGGACAGGCGTCTCGGCAAGCGATGCAGCAAAGAGCTTGAACATCATGGAGGCGGCGCATCAATGCTTCGTCGTCGAGCAGGGATGGCGGACGCCTGGTACTCACTTTCCCTCGTCCTGCCTTCCTTGCACGAGCTTTGAATGCCATCCATCGACCCGCTAACGCATGTGTGCGCAGGTCTTTCCACAAAAACCGGTGGGGTGGGCAAAGAAGTCGGGCCCTGGTACAAATTGAATCTTTACGGTGTAAAGGAAAGCGAGATCCCCGGTGCCGCAGCGCAGACCTGGACAGACAGTGCCTCCGGGCTAGAGTTCCTCAAAGTAGTCCCCAAATACCTTGCCGAGGCGAGCGTCGTGGTGCACGAGTTCGGCCACGCCATGCACTACAGCGAGGAAAACTGGGTCGACCAGACGCGGTATTGTTCCCTCTCCTTTTCACCGCTCCTCTACTAACAGCAAGACCCCAAAGAACCGGCGCATGGTGGGAAACCATCGCAAACTTCATCGCAGACACGTACATCGCTACGCCGCTCTGCGCATCCGCGAAGACCGCCGCCGGTCTCCCCACCACCGGCGCCTCCCTCATCGACTTGAAAAAAGTGATTGGAGATAGCTTCCAGGTCCTCGTCGATGGCAGCTCAGGCACAGGGAACTATTACCAGGCCTGGCCATTCCTAGCATATGTTACGAATAACCCGGACGGATATCCCGGGCTCGGGAAGTTGGTTCTCCTGGACATGATACGCAAGTACCAGCTGCGCAGCAACGAGACGCCGCTGCACACACTGGCCCGCCTTCTCGCTGCCGCAGGGGGAAGTGTCAGCGTGCAGAAAGTCGTAGCGCGGTACTGGGCGCACATGGCGTACGTCGACATCGGGCACGCCGCCGCAGCCACTGCGTTCGCGAGTCAACGTAATGGCCTGAATTATGCGAACCTCGATGCGAACGGTGAGGGGAAGTACACGGTGAAGAACGCAAGGGCGCCGCGGTACATGGGGGCGAGTATCGTGCCACTGAAGGCTTCGGCGGGAACGGTGAAGGTGGCGATTAGTGCGAGCGCCAGTACGTATGCTGCGACGCTGGCGGTGAAGGGGAGTGGTGGCGTGCGGTATGTGGATGTTCCTAATGGGAATGCAAGCGTGACGCTGGCGAGTGGGGAGGAGATCACGCTTGTGGTGGCGAACACGCCGACGTTGGTGCTGTATGATCCGTTTAGTATTCCGGCGGAGTTGAACAAGGGTTTGACATTTTCAGTGCAGATTACTGGGGCGACTGTATGATATAGCGAATGTCGGGATGCGAGAACGGGAAGTTGTGTATTGGGAAACACGGTTTGGTTGGAAATCGTACATGACTAGTTAAAAGCATACACCATGGTACAGATCGAGACCCCTTTCAGAGTGCGGTGATGTCCTTCTATTAAATCTGCCTTTCGTAAACGCCGTGAGCCTAGATGGTGAGCATTATGGACCAGAAACGCCATGCTCGAAGCAATCCCTGCTTAAGAATACTGAAAAGTGGCTCGGTATCTGTTTGAGCTACTTCTATAGCTTGGCCTTGGTCTCAGGCCCCGGAGCGCTTGCTTCCTTGTTCAGAGAGACGTTGCCGTTAGCCGGGCTGTCACCGAAGAAGATGACTTCGACGGTCAAATCATCCCTGCGTATCGTTAGCAAGCTGTGCCTGTTTGACTGGCGTATTTCCATACCTGTATCGCCTAGAGAAGGGGCTCGGTAACGTCAGGAGAGCGGACAGCTGGTCCTGATCTTTACCACCAAGCGCGTTTCGGACGAGATGCGTAGCCGCGTTCTTATCTTCAACGACAAACCGTTCGTTCATAGATGTCTTCGTGCCCCATTGCTGCTGTCGGATTGGTGCCCGTTGACCCTCCTGCTTCGAGGAGCTCTTGTCCTCTACAGGCAGACCCTTCTGGCCACCCGTCCAGCTCTTCAGCCATGATTGCGTTTGCGAGTTTTGGCTGCCATTCGATTGACCTTGCGCATCCAGCCACTGTCCAACGAGCCCGACAACTTCTTCGTTGGTCAGCATTTCCCATAGACCGTCGGTAGCCATGACGACGAAATCGCCCTTCTCAGGCTCCACTTTGGTAGTCGTGATGATGGGCTCGGCGGTGACATAGGGAGGTGTTTTCAGAAGCGAGTTGGCACTACGAGCGAAGTAAGACTTCTTCAGCTCTTGCGTAGTCTGGAGTGACCACTTGTAAGACGCGTCACCAAAAGCACGAGACGGCTCGAGACCGCCCAGGATACGGCCGTTCCTAACCACGTTGGGCTCTCCAGGATGTTCTGCACGCAGCCGCTCAGCTTCACTGACGGTGCCGCCGGTCTGGTCTTCCGACAGGGGCGTGGCAGTCCATTTGCCGTTGGAGCCACGACGTCCTAGCACAGCACGGGAGTCGCCCGTGCATGCCACCCTTAGGAGCTTTGACCTGCTGTCGTAGAACGAAAGCAGAGCACATGATCCAGACAGGGCAGGGGCCAAGAGCTCAGCAGCCGCAACCTTGGACTGAGCCTTCTTGAGCTTCTTGACAGACTCGTGGACGATCTCGTCATCGAGGCGCACGAACCCAGTCTTGATAGCCTTGTCAATGGCCTCGGGTGTCGGGAAACGGAGCTCCGGGTCTTGGAGGGCGGAGGTGTAGGTCGTGTTGAGCTCGCGGGCGACGAAGGAGATCAGCGTCTGGCGGAGCTTTGCCGATGTTACCCAGCCGCTGTCAATCTGTCAGCCAAAAAAGTCTGAACGACAGGCGATTCCTACCTGTGACCGTCAAAGACACCCCAGAACATCCAGTCAGTCGACGAAGAGCCATTGTCCGTGGCGGCAAGATTCTGTGGCACCTCAATGATCTTCTCTGCGTGGTCGTCCTCGATGGGGTCGTTGCTTGGGATCTGCACGACATCGTAGCGGACCACGCCCTGCCCTCTGCCGACGAACCACGACTCCTCAGTCTTCCTCAGCTTCGCCGTGGTCTGCTCGGGCGTGAGCATCTCGATGACCTTGCGCCCGAGATCGTCGGTGTCCTTGGACAGCGGAGCGTCCCCGGAGATGGTGCCCGTGTACAGCGACCCAACCTGGTCTACCACCAAGGCCCTGCGCGTCGTCTCGGGAGCAGCGTCGGTCGTGATGCTGCGGATCTGGTCTGCGGTCGTCGTGACACCTGACGGCTGGTGGCCACGATACCAGTAGTAGGCGCTTGAGGCGACACCGGCAGCGACCACGGCACCCACGGTGCCCCGCAGCTGCATCGACGACGTGAGGAGCGCGGTGGAGGGACGCTGGCGCGACAGATAGCGCTGGCCTAGGGCATTATTCGGCGCGAGGGAGACCTGGCGGCTGCGGGCAACCTTGCGCAGAGTCGGGCGACGGGCGGAGCGGAGGACTTGAAGAGCCGCCCGACGCATTTGCAGAAGCCAAAGGGGCGGATGGGGTGTGCAAGGAGTCTGGCGGCGACGACGACGACGCTCCAAGAGCCGCGGTTTCGGTTGCGTCAAGCGCTGCCCGGCTGTAGCGCCGCACGGGCCGCGCCTTCCAATCGGGCCTCAGCCTTACCAACATAAAACTGGAGCCTTTTAGTACTCGAGCAGCAACGTCACCACGCCACGCTCGCTTTGCGAAAATCACCACCGAAATGTCCTCGCGAGCGTTGCGGCGAGCCCAGCGCGAGCTGGAAGAGAAGAAACAGTTGGAGCAGCTGGAGCAAGAAAATGCCAGCGAAGAAGAGTCGGAAGACGAAGATGAGCCCGCACTTGCTCCAAAGGCCGCAGCGAAGCCCAGCTTATTTGCTATGTTGGGCGATGCTGGAGACGAAGATGAGGAGGAGGAGGATGTAGAAGAGCAGGAGAAACCATCAGACCCCATAGTCGAGGAAGAGGTTCAAGTTACACCCACAGTCAAACCATCAAAAAAGGCAAAGAAGAAGAAAAAGAAGGGCAAAGGCAAAAGCAGCACCCCAGCTTCCAAGAAGACCCCCGCCACCATGGAAACCGTTCCGGGGCTGGATGAGATTGATCAGGCTCTGCTTGCGCTGAACCTCAGCTCGGGCGCGAAATCGAGTAGCGATGACCAGCCCACATCAGCGGCCAGTGAAGAGATGCAACAGCTGTTCTCTGCTTTGTCCATTGACACCACACATCTTCATGCCGCGAACGAGATGCGCAAACTCTTTGGCCGCGCTGCCGTCCAAGGAAACGATGACGACGAACCGCGAGCACGGAACCAACGGCAGCGGGGTGGGATCGCGGCGGCAGCCGCTGGTCGCAATCAACCCGGAGGCCGCAATTTGGTTTCTCTAGGCTTGCGGCGCAACATTTTCATCCAAGGGAAAGAGGAGTGGCCGCGGGCAACACTAGGCGGCCTTGGTATGGAGGTTGTGGAAAAACGCGACGACGGTACTGTGGAATACCGCTTTGTGCACAATCACTCCTACCAAGCCGTCCAGCAGCAGTTCGAGACTTGCGTCGCCTCCATGGACCCTGAGCGCATGGTTCAGCTCATGCACTTCAACCCCTATCACATCTCCACCTTACTCCAGGTCTCTGAGATTGCTAAGCAGCAGCGGGATAATGCAACATCGGGTGAGCTGCTAGAACGTGCACTGTTTGCTTTCGGCCGAGCGGTGCATTCCACATTCGCCCACAACCTCTCCCAAGGAAAGGCTCGCCTCGACTTCCGCCGCCCAGAGAACCGCGAATTCTGGCTCGCCGTATGGCGCTACATCGCCACCTTGGGCGTTCGGGCCACCTGGCGGACAGCTTTTGAATGGGCGAAGCTCCTCATCAGTCTATCTCCCGAAGACGATCCGTACTGCATGCGTCTCACCATCGACCAACTAGCGCTTCGCGGCCGGGAACCTCAAGCCCTTGTCGACTTGGTAGAAGCCGATCATCTCGAGCGTGCCTGGAAGATCCCACCAAATCTGGCCTTCTCTGTCGCCCTCGCCCACGACCGTCTCAAGAACCCCACAAAGGCACGCACAGCGCTCCGCTCAGCCATCAAAGAATATCCCTGGATAGCGTCTCGTATCTGCAAGGAGCTCGACATCTCGCCTATACCCAAGTCCGTATGGGGCAAGGAGCCAAATGGCAACCACCAAGAGCTCCTCACCCAGCTCTATGTCCCGCAAGCAAAGGACTTGTGGAACACCACGGAGGGCACGACCTTACTCGTCGAAGTATGCTACTCCATCGACGAGCCCCTCGGCGCCGGCGAGGACCCCTACTGGCTCGCCCCCATCAACGAAACCGACCTCGCGCGCCACGTCATCCTCTCCGACTCCCCGCCCCTCCTTGCCCTCCTCGACCCCGCCGTTAAGAACAAATACACATCCACCTCAGACCCACTTCCCCCGGCGGACGACATACGTTCATACTCCGCCTCCGCTAGTACTACCGTGCCCATGGCCGCTCTTGGACGCACAGATGCGCTCTCCGAACTCGAGTCCCTGAGGCAGTATTTCCAGAACGTCATAAATGGGAATGGGGACATGACGGAGCAGGACCTGCTGGATTCGTTGCAGCGTGCGGGCACGACTTATGCAGAGTTTCGGCGGAACACGGAGAGGGTGCAGGCGATACGGCAGCGGTTGCAGGACTTGGGCGTGCAGGTGATTTTCGAGGGGCAGGGGCAGGGTGACGAGGGGGGCTCTGATACTGATGAGTGAGGCTGCGACAGAAGCGGAGGGGGTTGGACGAGCGAATCTCGTTGGATCATGTTGAGTTAGCGTAGAGGTTCATGCACAGACGCCATTCTACAACTCGGTCCACTGCCTCATGACTGCTTCCAGCCGCACAGGGGCTAGCTGCAATGGGCCACTGATCTACTATGATTAAACTCACTTCACCTCTATGAGAAATCTGTGGTCTACCTTGGGCTCCAACACCTTCGAGCATGCGGGGCGTGGATATGTGTGGTGTGAACAGAGGTGTAATTCTTTGTATTGTTCATGTGTCGTCTCCTCAGGGACACTCTAGATGACAGAGCATCTTGTCTTGCGATTTTCAGGATTGTGTCCCTTCGTCCATCGCCACGGTATCCGTCCTTTGCTGCCGCAGCATGCTCACCAAACGCTGGTTGCCTGCGCCCACAGGCCTTCCCCCTATGCTGCTCTTGTCAATCTGCAAGATGCGGCCGCACGCCATCCGCGCCAAAGGTACATTGTGCTTCGGCGCGCGCGACGTGTCGAGCCACATCCGCCCTGGGGGATGCTCCTGTCCCTGTTCTCCTAACAAAACCTTCTTCTCACTGAACTCATTCAAGATGAGTCTGTCGCCGTTGGGCAGCCAGCACCAAGGCTCGCCAATCGCGCGTTTGATGGCGAAGACGTCGTCTAGGGTTGACTTTGCAAAGTCGACCTGCTGGTCCCCTTTCAGGATTTTGCCCGCATGGTCTATTGCGCCGCCGGAGTCCCCGTACCATCCGACATCTTTCAGGGGGGGTACGAAGGCGCGCGATAATAGCACGTTGACGAGCATGTTTGCTCCCTCGTGACCCAATCGCCTGGTGAGGCCATCCGCATCCACCCAGTCTGGGATGGATATGCCCGGGGAAGGCGTCTGGGCCAGGATGGTTCCTCCATCAAATTGGGTGGGGTGTAGCGTCTGGACGGAGACGCCAGTAGCCTGCCTGCGTTTCAGCAAGGCGTGTTGGATGGGCGCGGGGCCCTTGAGATCTGGGAGGAGCGAAGGGTGGACATTGAGGCCTCCGTACTTGGCGAGGCTCAAAATGCGCGGTGGGACGAAGAGGCCAAAAGACACGGCGATGATGAGGTCGACCCGGGAAGGTGGGGTCCAGCCGGTAAACGTGTCAATGGTGTGCGTGACACAGAGCTCCTCTGCTGCTGCTAGCTTGATTGGCACTGCAGCTGGTCAATGGCTGTCTCTTGGTGGGCTGGTGGTGCGGCTACCGTCGCGTAGAGATTTCAGGCCGCGCCCCGTTGGTTTGGCCGGGCGGTGGACCACATCGATCGATTCTATGAGCTTGGGGACTTCGCGCTGGGCCTGGGACAATGCGCGCAGCGAGGCGATGCTGAAGTCGTCGGAGCCGCAGAACAGGATTCTCAGTGGGGGGGCGGTGGTCGCGGCGGTCGAGATGAATCGGCGATAGCCCGGGGCCAGAAAGGAGCGGACGGGGGCAGGCAGCCTCCACAGCATGACGAGAGATCGCGATGTGAGGTTCTTGGGGTGCCGCCTGTGCGTCGTGAGAGGTGCGATCTGGGCTTAGCGTCCGATTCGCGCGCCTCGTTTGCGGACAGCATCCATGCGACGCGCTGCTGGCGGTCGTTCTAGTCCATGCATGTTTCTGTGCGAGGGTGTAGATACAAATACAGGATGAGGCCGCCGCTGCCGCTGCAGGCCCCTCAGACGTTGCGCGCGGCATTGTGATCCGACTTGCTTCATCGGCAGGCGCGTATTGCGGAGTTGCTCGACACCTCCGCGGTGACGCCATAGCAGGCGTGCTCAAGACCTATCTATACACCTTGAGATACACAGCACCTCAGACGCAGTCATGTCGTCGACGGCCATCCCGAAGGTCGTGCCCGCGCACCTATCTTTCCTTGCCATCTACAACCCTGACCTGGGGAGGTCGGACGAAACGTTCCACAACCAGATCGTCTTTTATCACTCCAAAGCTGCAAAGGCGCGGTCCAGACTCCATGGCCGCGACGCCCGGGCCGAGCAAGAGCTGCGCGAGCACGAGAATGAGAAGCTGCGCCAGGTCGGCCTTGCGCAGGGCATGGTTGGGTTCGCCCGGTATACGACGAGCCGCGATGTAGAGCATTTGCAATGGTGGGCTGATTGACGCGCAGGAGCTTCTCCAATGGCGCCGCCGTCGACTCTGTAGAGACGCAGAAATCGCGAATCGTCCTGCACGAGCTGGAAGAAGGATGGTGGATACTCGCAGTACGTCCATTTGCTAGACATGCGTATGAGCAGAGCATTCTGACGAGGTGCAGTCTATCGACCTCACCCAGCTCCCCGCGCACCACGCAGGCACAGGGAATGGAGACCCGGCCTCGCAGCCTTCTGTCGAATACTCGTCGCGGGAAGTGAGCCCGCCCGCGCTGCTGATCCAGCAGCTCATACGCGCCCACAACATCTTCCTGCTACACCATGGAATAACACTCGATGCCATGCTCGACAAGCACGACCGCACCAAGTTTTGCAACATACTGGAGAAATACTGGTCGAGATTTGCAAGCACCTGGGACGTGCTCCTGCACGGTAGCCCTGCAGTGGGCATCTACAATGGCATGAAGCTGGCAGCGGGTGGCGAGCTGGGCATGGGCGTGGGTGAAGAAGAGTGGGGAAGCGGAGAGCGTCTGGTGCTGGAGGACTTCGTGCAAAAGACGGAGGGCTTGGTAGACTTCATGGTCTCTCGGTTCGGCGAACCTTCGCCCCTCCAAGATCCAAAGAAGCGTCCCGACTCGAAACAATCGGTCGAGGAAACAGAACCCTGGATCGGGAGTGGCAGAATGCCCACCGCTGCGGATGGAATTGTTTTCTCTGGAGTAGGAGCTGTCGCCAAAAGGTCTCTGCGAGACTTGTCACACTGGATTGAGACCATCTACTCCAACGGGGATCACGCGTACGGCGTTGGAGATAACCCAACAACTGATCGCAGAAAACGAAGGCGTCGGATTATACCATCAACAACCTCTTCGTCCGAGCCAGCTGCTCGTACTGCAAGGTTAAGTAACAGGCCCAGTGGCACTCTTTCGAAAGGAGAGCCGGTGCCTACTCCCACCCCTGGAATCCCTCCCGATCTGATCAAGAATGTGGAGACTTCACTAGACAAAGCTTCCAGTGCTGTCGATGCATCAGGAGGGCAGACGGTGCAGAACCAGGAACCGCTATTGGCTTCCTTGGGCGACACTGAAACGTGGATGAAGTATTTAACGCTGGGTTATGGCACTGCGTGGGGCTCCAAGAAAAGCGCGACGGCTGATAATGCTCCCACACAGGAGCAAGCCGTCGACTCCGCTACACCAGAGGCTCCAATGCGATTTGTCGAACCCGAACCAGATGTCGACCATGCAGCTGAGAAGCTGAAAGCCCAGATTCAGCTGGAAAATACTGGGTATTTTGCCATAGGTCTGAAAGGTGACCTGGATGATGGAGTTGCAGACGACTCTGATGGCGAAGGAGATTGGAACAAGCGCACGCTCCTTCGTAATGTGCACGTCGAGTTGACTGATGAAAACATACCTGCTACTCCTGGCACCGGGGACGACGATACACCGCAGTTTGAGAAAGAACTCAGCCTAAAGAACGCGGATACTGTCAGGCTGCGGAGACTCCGTCCTGTCATCTACGTGGTAGGAAATCAGAAGCTACCGTATAGACCTCTCTCACTAACCGCTAATTCAGCATCGTCCCTTCATCTATACCTTCCTCTTCCGCCATCGGACAGAGTCGCTCACGATAGCATCGTTTTACCGCAACCTACATACCTACTTTTCGCCTCTACACCGACCTTTAACAACCAGCACATGCCCAAGCAAAGTCTTTGCGCGCATATCCGGCTCCTCTCACCCTTACACAACAACATCTTCCCAGCAAGGAGTAGAGCCTAATGCACAGCCTATCTACGATCTAGTATACGACCCCCGGACGCTCACAGTGCATTCGAGTATTCCCAACATCCCCGACCCCGGAACACTGATCGCAGAAGGCCTGAGCAGCGATGCAACGCTCGCCGGCTGGAGCCGCGTCGAAGCCCTCAACGTACATTCCCAGATCCTCGCCACGGTGACCAGCACACGCCGCAGTCTCGCTGAGATTGAGCGCACGTGCAAGACGAGTCGCAGCTGGTGGGTCGTCTGGATGCGCCTGCCTCCATCGCAAGCCATGCCTTCACAAAGCCTGAAAGCAGACGCAGGTCAAGAGCAGGAGCCCGAGGAAACGCAGACGGAGTTCCTCACCGACCAGCTCCGCGAGGCGATCCTCATCCGGCGTGCGCGCGACGCAACAGCACCCTCGACCAAGAGCGCAGGCAGCAGATTCGCAAGCAGCATGTGGAAGCCTGCCGTCGACAAGACGGGGGGTGCGGCGGCGGGATGGGGACCGCGGGGGCTGGCGGAGGGCATTGGGATCGATGCGAGGAGGTATGTTGAGGGGCTGTTGAGTTTGAATCGATGACGGCTGTCATCGAGCTGGAGTAGAGCAGCCCGTGTGGATACCCGTTGAGCAATCGATAGCGACAGCAGCGATATAGCGCTCCTGGCATACATACCGTCGCCCCCTTCAAGCGTTCAAGACGCGTGGTGGAAGTTAATTTGCAGCTTCAGCACGGCGTTGCTTGGTGAGGACCCTTCCATCCCATCGATATCAAGCGTGCATGTCTAGATCCCCAACCATACTCCAGCGTGACCCGCGTCACCCAAACGGGCTGGCGTCCCACCCGCACCTTCCCAAAAGCGCGGTACCTTCAGGGGGTGCGCCGCTAGCCGAGCCCGCCCCGCCGGCTCGACATCGCAAGCCACTGTCGCAGATGTCAATCCGGAGTATTGAAGCGCCTGCACGGCGAGAACGGGCGGGCCGGGGGATGGGCGCTGGCCTCCACCTCTTCTTCTTTCTTCCAGAGCACTCGGGCTGTCTGCTGTCTGTTCGCAGGCTGTCTCGCCTTCCTTTGTCCTTTGTTGAACCGGATTGGGAGCCTTATAGACGACGGAGATTCGACGGACTCGGACGTGTCTGACGTCGCTCGCAATCAGAGCGGGTCGCGGAAGGGCACTCGGACCTGGGATCTACCTTCCCATCGCGGAGGCTCCGTTTTGTCAAGCACCTAGACGGCTGCGAGAGACACACGGTGCTGCGCTGGGAAGGATTGATTGATGTTGTTTTCCCTTCAGTGTTGATTTGTTGATTGATTGAGCGGGCATTGTGTTGTATTGCTGCTTTGCATCGTGTTTGCTCTGGGACACCTGGGACTTGGGTAGGAGCAGAAAAGAAGATTGGAAGACAAGACGAAAGTACGACGACGTAATCGTAATGCTTATTCCCTGGACGACATGGACGGCAGCGAGCGCAGTGGTGCAAGTCGCCTCAGCCTTCTATCCTTACGACCCATCCTCTAGCACCGCGCATACACGACGAACGGCGATCAGAGTCCGCGATGCGCCTCGAACTCGCCTCACGATACCGCTGCGTCGCGTGCCACGCACCAACACCTACGACATCCTCAACAGCGATGACCCAAGCCAGAAGAACAGCGTGGCGGTGGACCAGGATGGCGCGGACCTGAGCTACATGGCCGCTGTCACAATCGGCAGTAGCAACGAGGAGTACCACTTGCTGCTCGACTCGGCGGCAAGTAATACGTGGGTCATGGGGCAGGAGTGTACGGCGGAGGCGTGCGGGAAGCATAATACGTTTGGGGAGGGGGACTCGGGGTCGCTGAAGGTATGCTTTTCCCTTCCTTCACCCTTCATACTCTCCCTTCTCTTGACATGCAAACTCACATGCTGACTGAGTGTCTCAGACAACGACGAAGTCCTTCAGCATAACCTACGGCACCGGCTCCGTCTCCGGCACCACCGCCTCCGACACCCTCCACATCGCCAGCCTCTCCACAGCCCTAACCTTCGGCCTGGCGACCAACGTCTCCTCCGAATTCAACGCCTACCCCATGGATGGCATCCTCGGACTCGGTCGCGGGACAGCGGCCGAGCTCGACGATAGCCAGACGCTCATCGAGGCCCTCGCGGCCGCGGACCTCATACCCGCGAAGCTGTACGGCATACACCTCTCTCGCGCGGCGGATGGGACGAACGACGGGGAGTTAAATCTGGGCGAGGTGAATAGCGAGCGCTTCGACGGGGATTTGGACTGGCTCGATGGCGTGCCCAACGACACGGGGTTCTGGGAAATCAGCGTGGGCGACGCAGGCGTGGGGACCTCGCTGGCTGGCTTGAAGGGCAAATCCGCGATCATCGACTCGGGAACGTCATATGTCTTCATGCCCGAGGCGGATGCGCTTGCTGTGCACAAGCTCATCGACGGGTACACGCAGTCCGGCGAGACGTTCAGCGTGCCGTGCTCTACGACGACAAATTTGTCGATCAAGTTCGGCGACAAGACGTACGCGATTTCAAGTAAGGACTGGGTCGGCGGCACTACAAGCGAGGGCATGTGCAGGAGCAACGTCTTCGGGCGGCAGACCTTTGGCGACGACCAATGGCTACTTGGCGATGTCTTCCTCAAGAACGTATACGCAGCCTTTGATCTCGACAGTGGCAAAGTCGGCTTCGGGACCAAGAAGGATGGCGGTAGTTTGTCGTCCACATCGACGTCCGCAAGCACGAGCGCGAGTTCGTCGAAGACTGCTTCTGGGAGTTACTCCACGGGAGCAAGTTCCTCGGGGGGAGAGGAGACGACGTCCGCGGCGCCGATTCTGCCGCCTGGTGCGTCTGCGACGCCGACGCCAGATCCGTCGTCTTCGCCTTCTTCTTCGTCGGTGGATACGTCGGCGGCATCGAACGATCACACGGGTGGTTCGTCCACGCTCGCCGCTTCGTCACTGCTCTGCATCGCCGTCATCATTTTCACGATGAATGTTCTATAGCGGATTGCATTATATATTTGTGCATATTCACGACGGGCGTACACGGGCGTTTGGTTTGCATATTTGCGCATAAGCATACTGGCGTTTTGGGTCCATTTACAACAGCAGAGGAGATGTGGGCTGAATGTATGTAGTAGCATAGCGTTGCCGCCAACTCCAGGTACATATCGATTCACATGACCGCCGTGTACTCCATGGATCCCCGTGCCGCTTCAGGTTTCCAGTCCACGATTCGACACATCGGCAGGTAGATGGAGGCGTAGTCACACTGCGTACGTGCTCCGCCACGCTGGCACTGCGGACAAGGTACGCGTGAGACTCTACTTGTTCGCACACCGTTGCAAATACTTCCAGCCACATTGCCTTGGTGAGTCCTGCTACTTGCAGCTCCCCTTTGAGTCTAATGCACAGACGAAGACAAGTACCCCCTTGGTGTTTTTCGCGCGTACTACGTACTAGCATAGAGGTGCAAGGCTGTCCCAGCCCAACTCACCATATTTCAGCTCACAATTGCAAGCTCAGTACAACGGCAGGGTAGGGCACTGCAATCCTCCGCCGCTCCAGTAAAGGCATCCATATGTACTTCACGCCCAGCGTACATGCAGGCTACGCTTCTCCTTTGACCCGCACAAAAGATGGATAAGTTACCTAATTTCCGGTGAGTGCATGGGAGTGAGACACTGCGAGGAGCGAGGAGCGCAGGCTCCCGCGTAACAATCACTCGGGGCGTACACACCATCTTCGTTCAGTAGTCAGATCGTTCAGTAGTTAGCAAAGGAAAGAAAGGGACATTGTGGTGCGTCAGTCACTGCACACTAGTCTGGTGGCTTAGTTACCACGACACGAACACCTCACCCAGAAACCGAACATGAACAGACGAAGCAGCAGAGTATGTAGTACGATATCCATTCGACGCCGAGAGTAAACAGATAGGTGGGTAGGTAGGTAGAGTAGGTAGGATTTGAACAGTTATTACACCAGATGCGCAAGCCATCTCTCGAAAAAAAGAAGTTGAAGAAGAAGTAAAAAGGGAACCACACACAACCAGCCAACAAAGAGGGATGCGAACAGCAACAGGAGCAGCTTCGAAGCGCGAGCGGGCGTCCGGACAAGTCGTGTACGTGGGTGGCACGTGAGCATGTGAGGCACACCTGACAAGATACGCCTGGCATTTGCTGATTCCGGTACGCTGTGAGTGCCTCGGTCCCGCAAGAAGAAACCCTGTTATGAACTACCCCAAGATGATGTGCTCAAAATACAGCGCAGTAACGCCCGTGGTGCCGCGGAGAAGGCTCTAGCTGGCCAGAGGTAGGTAGATGCGCGCCTTCGACAGCCCACCATTCACATGTGTCTTCATATCAACCACCTAGCTCACGGCCGCCGCAGGCTCGTTTGGGGGCCCCTGTGTAGCCACGACAGGGTGCTGCGGCGGCCACCGCATGTACGCCGTGTCGACCTTACAAGATCAGGCACTTCTTCTTCTTGTTCTCTTTCCGGGTGGTCAGGGCAGCGCGGGTGGCGTGTTCAAATACTTCCCGCACACCCTCGTTCGTCTTTGCCGAGCACTCGAGGTACTTGAGCGCACCGATCTTCTTGCGGACATCCTCGGCCTGTGCGTGCATTAGCGCGGTTGGCATCAGTAGACGCGTAGAGGACTGACCTGCTCGGGGGTCACAGGCTTCTGGGAAGTCTTGTGCAGCTCCTCAATCGTCTTCTGGTCGAAGCGAAGATCCTTCTTGCAGCCGACGAGGATGATGGGCAGGCCCTGGCAGAAGTGCAGCACCTCGGAAATCCACTGTGCCTCGTTAGCGATGGCCGTGCACGAGCGACGGCAGGCAGTGTACCTTCTCCTGGACGTTGTCGAGCGAATCGGGCGAGTCGATGGCGAAGCAGATGAGGATAACGTGTGAGTCGGGGTACGAAAGAGGGCGCAGACGGTCGTAATCCTCCTGGCCTGCGGTATCCCAGAGGGCGAGCTCGACGTGCTTGCCGTCGACCTCTACGTCGGCAACATAGTTCTCGAAGACAGTGGGCACGTAGACCTGCAAGGGAGATGATGTCAGTAGGTGTGTAACAATGGGCGGCGGGCTGGAATCGCCGCGACGGAGCGGTGCAGCCCGGCTGACGCTGGTAGGGGATGCAGCGCGCTGGGGGCGTGGAACTGACCTCAGGGAAGGTGCCCTTGGAGAAGACACTGGAGCGCGGCGTTAGCGGGCGGGTGCGTCGACAGGCAGGCAGCGTGCTCGGGCTCGACATGGCTGCTGGGCCACGACTTACATGAGCAGACAGGTCTTTCCACAGGCACCGTCGCCGACGATAACGAGCTTGCGACGAATCTCCGCCATGGTATCGAGCACTGGGGGTGTCTGGGGAGTCGGGGGGGCGGTGGTCGCTGGGGGGCGGGTTGGAGGGCAGGAGTTGGGATGTTGGGAGAGGTCTGGTGTAAGTAACAAGAGTGTGCTGCTGGAAGGCACCTGCTTCTCAGGACCGTCCGTGCACCGACGCCAGACACAGCCGCACTCCTGCTATCGCCGTGGCTGGTGCGCGCGTGATTGGCTGCCCGGCTCCTTCACGCGAGGACACTGGATAGGCAGCGCAGCGGGCGCAGGAATTGTGCTTGTGCAGCGGCCAGGAGACGGGCTGCTGCGTCTGTGGGCGCTGCGTGCAATGCGGGCTCGAGCAAGCGCACGCTCGCGCAACCCAGACGACGGTCACGTTGACAGCGGCGAGCGTCCGCTGCCATGGCAAATCACAATCACCCGCGATCTAGCAAAGCCACGCCCGCTCCGCGCCGTCGCCGTCTGCTGCCTCGTGACGTGCTCTGTATCGCGGAACACGCCTTCGCAAGCAACCGCCGTGAGAGTCGCCTCCCGCGCTCTGGCTCGCTGACGCTGCGCGTGCGTCGTCTCGCTGTCTCGCTGTCTCGCTGCCGGCCGCCGTCGCCCAGCGAACGGGCGGTGGACAAGCAGCCGTCGTGGTTTCAGTCGCAGCCCGCCCATTCGCCGCCCCCGAAAACTGGAGAAGCGTCAAGCGACAACGCTGCCACGCACGACGGCCTGGCCGTGGTTCCGCGGCCACAGCCAGACGCGCACATCGCCTCACTGACCTCAGCAGCCATGGTCGCTGATTGTCCGAAACACCCGCCCTTCGCCCCTATCGCCTGTGCTGTCCAGATGCGGGGTCTCGGTGAAGGCGGCCTCTGCCCTTGTGCACGCCAGTCCTCCTCGGTGGTACTTTTATGCTCGACGGCCATTCCCGCACTTGGCACGCCTCACCGCTGCCTGGACTGCGAGACGCACGACCGGTCAAGCCTGCCGACCTGTGCTTCTGCTCGACCCAACTTGACATTGATTGCTCTTTGGCATGACATCAGCGCGTGCCAGCCCAAGCGCGTTTCAGGAGTCGCTGCGCGTCTAGCCCGATCGGCTGTAGCTTATCTGCTCGTGGTATGCTATGCGTGCTGTGAATCCCTTACTATCAAGGTAGCGACGAATCCCTCAATGGATTGCCAACGTCTTCTGTCTTAAAAAGCTCATCTAACGCTCTCCTTATCGCATAGCATAGCTCGAGTACAGCCATCTCCACAATATACAATATATCGAGCCGCGCGTCGTCATCCTGGTCATCCTAGTCGCCATGGTGACATAAGTGTACTCTATCATACTCCTTTACACAGAACCCTATCTTCCAGTCACAAGCATCGTCGCCGCTATTGAGAACTGCGATCCAATGCATCCAAGGAAGTCGCGATCATGCATTGGTATATCCACGTTCACCATGCTGGCAACAAAGGAACTCAGTACACCCACAAGTACACTAATTGCCTTTCTATGCTCCCGCAGCGTCTAGCATCCAAGGTATGAGCAAGATGTGGCGACAAAGAGGAATATGAGCCAGAGCAAGTGGCACAACGTGAACACAAAGACACGGGGCTGGTGCAGGAACGCCCTACCAACTAATCCAGCATCTTCAAGTCACCGTTGACCTTGACGGTCTACCGTCTCCCCTGATCATGATTGCTCATCGATATCTTGATGTTGGAAAGACACGAAAGCGATGGAGCGGGACTGCACAGGATGGACGGCACACATTGTGGGTGACAACGATGTTATAGGGGTGCTGGTACCTTTATCGTCCAGCATCGGAAAAATAGACTACATCTCTAGGTCTTTGTGGAGATGTTCGTAAGTTGGGTTTGAGGAGGGCGAATATAGCTGATCGGATGTAGACACGCAATTACAGTGACAACGCTATGATCGATGCTGCGTATAATGAGGCGTTGCGCAAGCGGACGAACCCTGGGACTGGTCGCCAGAGAACCTCTGTAAAGAGGCAAAAGGTGAGTGAGCCTGTCAATGATGACAATGATCAAGATGAGGCTGAGAGCGGGTCTCAGCGAGATGAACATGGTGGCCAGGGGGGCGAGGGCGAGGACAACGTTGAAGACCAAGAGGAGACTGCTGCCGGCCGAGCATGGAAAGACCAAGCAAAATCTGAGCACCTAGAAGCGAAAGCTCTCGACGCAAAGACAGCAGAAACCCACCGAGAACGCGTAAGAAAGCTCGGCCCTTTCTTCGCGCTGCCTGCAGAAATCAGGAATCTAATCTGCGAGCACTGCCTGATTGCTGATCGCGACCTCGCCATCTCTACAGACGGCGGTGGGTTCGAACTCAACGAAAAGACTCACTATCTGAGCACATGGGCAAGTCGCCCAAAATCAGGACACTTCAACGCTTCCCTTGCTCGCATGTGCAAGCAGATCAACGTCAAAGCCGGCTGGTGGCTCTGGGGCAAAAATACGCACGCATTCATTGACAATTCGACGGCGTGCAGCTTCCTCGTTCGCTACGCTTCCAAGGGGCAAGAGATACGTTGCGTTCGCATCAATCTAGAAATAAAATACAAGCGGAGAGAGCAGACTGGGGTCTTTGGCTATCTGGCATTCCTGAAAAAGTTGGAGCGCCTGGAAATTTTCGTCGACTTCTGGAGCCGTGGAAGGAGAACCGGCACCTTGCTAACCGGAGATCGGCCGTTATCCAGTGATGCGGATTTGGACGGAAACTGGTTCTACCACGTAGTTCATCCGTTGCTGGATGCTGTGGCATTGCGAAACGAGAATGATCATCAGGCTGTAGTGAATGTGCTTATTTTCCAAGATTATACTTCCCAATTTAAGAGAAAGGACAAGATGCTCCAGTCTATCGCCGCGCTGAAGGATGTCATCATAACTGAACTGTATATAGCACTGAGCGACTTGGCTGGTAGAAGCTAGCTCAGACATCTTTTTCAGGCCCATGTTGGGCATCTTGTAGTCTATGGCAAGCTGGTAGGCACCTTAGAAACTTAAACCAAAGTTCATCAAAGTCATTAGCGATCGCTCAACAGGTACTTCGAGCTGTGAGTGTCAATCTCTCGCGGACCATGAAAGCACGCCTGTATCGAGCCAGTTTTGATTCGATTTGCAAGCTCGTGATTTTAATGCAGTTATGTGGAACCGCCGGTCGCAGGATACGTTGAACTAGAGTCGAATACAGGGCTTTGGACAGGTCGGACGCTTGGTTCGGACTCTGTCTACGTTTGGCCAAACCTGGTTGACGTGAATGCTTGTAGGCACCACAGCTGATTGTCCGAGACGGGTGAGATTACTAAGGCAGGTTCCATAGTCTTCTAGAGCACGTGCCATCGCGCGGGGCGGCTAGACCCACCTTTATTGACCTCACCCGCGGCGAGCAATGGTCGTGAACCGCCGCTGAGTCCACGCAGGCGGCCCACGTTGCCTTCGCTTTATACTTGAACCCCGTCGCGCCTCCCAGTTCCGCTCCTCTCCACCCCAGCTGGACCCCACATCCACTCACCATGGCGGACGAAACTCCCCCCAACGATACGCCGATGCCTGATGCCATGTCCGACGCCGACAAGGTGGGCGGAGCTCTGGGAATCTCCAAGCAAATGCTGACGACAGCTAGATTCGCGCAAAGAGGCTTGCAAAGCTCGGAGGCCCTGCTCCCGCGAGTGCATCTTCAAACCCGACCTCTACGCCGCCCACAGCTCCCGCCTCGAGCAGCTCAACGCCTCCGCCTGTACAGAAACAGCCTCCGCCCGCCGCGCAGCCCCCGACGGCGTCAAACCCCTTTGCTCAGCTCGGAATGAAGGCGGAAGAGAAGCCTACAAACGTACCGAAAATAAACATCAGACCAAAACCTGCCGAGCCACCCATCGCTCGCAGTGTAACGCCGAAGGGCCAAGAAGTCAGCCTGGATGCCTGGACAGACCGCACCATCGGCCAAACTTTCCGGATAACGCTCGATCCAGAACGTACAAAGGACGTACATGGTCACCGATTATTCTTCGTATCAGGTGTCCGCGCTGACCTGGAGGAGTCGGACAGTCCGATTCAGTTCAATCTCGAGCTGCTGGACAGTGCCATTATCGAGTCGGCACAGAGCGCTTCTGAGGGCAACGCGTTACGCTACCTGTTGGGATGCTGGAAGCGCATCTGTAGACTGCTGCGTGGGATGCACAACCGGGAAGATCCCAAATACAAGATCGCTCAAGAATGTCGACGGCTGTGCTTTAACTACTGCATTTTCGCCGCTACGATGCCCGACGTGATGTTCAACGAGGAACCTCCTACAGTCAATCCATTGGCGGAGCATTTGCTTGTGGACCCGGAGAACGATGGCGGGATCTGCCATGATTTCCTCAATGAGGCTGTCTCGCGGTTCGAAGACGACGACAGCGTCAAGGATTTGCTAGTCGGAGCTATCGAAGAACTCAGTCGGAGATTGTCCAAGATGACCATGAATGACGATTACCGGCCGTACATGCTGACGATGCGCAACTTTGTTCGCTATAATCCGCTGCTCGTTGCCATGGCGCAATCTGATTTCTTCTTACCGGCCGAAATAGAAGCGCCGCATATCGAGAGGATAAGTCTCCTCGGACCGTTCTTCAGCATCTCGCCTCTTCAGGGTGACGTGGCGCTGAATTATTTCTCAAGCCCAACCACACGGGACAAGGGGTACATCAACAACTCGCAGCGGTCACTCCGACTAGCATTGCAGACACACCAAGACGAACTTTTCGACATTGCGAATTGTTTCATTAAGACCAAAGAATCACGGGAGAAGATCCTCGACTGGTTCGCTCTGATATTGAACAAGAACCACAAGCGACGTGCTATTCGCGCGGACCCGAAGCTCACTGCCTCGGATGCTTTTATGGTGAACATAACTGTCATACTTGACCGGCTATGCGAGCCATTCATGGACGCAACCTTTTCCAAAGTGGATAGGATCGACATCAACTATTTGCGTCGGTCTCCGCGAGTCGACATCAAGGAGGAGACCAAGATCAATGCTGACCAGCAAGAATCTGACGCCTTTTACGAGAATAAGGTTGATGGAACCAACAATTTCATCACCGAAGTTTTCTTCTTGACGGTTGCGTCGCATCACTACGGATTGGAGGCGGCGAACATGAAACTGTCCGAGCTGCAAAAGGATCTTAAGTATCTCGAAAAGCAGCTCGCACAGATGGAGACCGAGAGGCACAAATACATCTCCAACGCGATGCAGCTCTCTATTTTCGAAGCCCACCTTAAACGGATGAAAGATCGCATCGAGAAGGGTCACTGTGCCGTATTCGCAACTCAGGGTGTACTGGGTGACGATACTCTCCAGGCGCGATCAATGCAGTTCATGCGATACGTCATCGTCTGGATCCTCCGTATGGTATCGCCTGGTACCAAGTATCCCCAAGGCACCGTCCAGCTCCCACTACCACAGGAGCAGCCCGAATACTTCAAGTGCCTGCCTGAATATTTTATCGAAAACATCGGCGATAATTTCAAATACATCACCCACCACATGCCTCACATCATCACGTCCACCCAGTCGGAAGAATTGATGATCTACTGCATCACGTTTCTGCGGAACTCGGAATACATTCGCAATCCTGGCCTAAAATCTCAGCTTGTACGCATCCTGTTCAATGGTATCTTCCAGGTTCCAGGCAGATCCAAAGGCGTGCTCGGGGATGCATTGTTTGCACACAAATTCGCGACGAAGCACTTGCTTCACGCGCTGATGAAGTTCTTCTCGGAGTGTGAACGAGCCTATGACAAGCTGTCCATTCGTTACGAAATATTCCAGGTGATCAAGCTCATCTGGCCCAATCCCGCCTATCGAGAGAATTTGGCGACTGAAGCTCGAGTCAACTTGGACTTCTTTGTGCAGTTCGTTAACCTTCTCCTGAATGATGTCACATTTGTTCTGGATGAATCCTTTACGGCTTTCACACAGATCCACGATCTCTCCGCTGAGCTCAAGGATCCACAGCCAGAGGGCGATGCGACTACTCGCCAGGAAAAGGAGGATAAGCTTGCAGCTGCGAAAGGTTTGTCTTCTTTCTTCTTGCTCGGAATTGCCAATTAACTCGATATGTAGACAAGGCGAAGAACTACATGATGATAACCAACGAGACTGTGGCCATGTTGAAGCTTTTCACGGAAACTCTGGGTGACTCTTTCACGAAGAAGGAGGTTGTTGTCCGCCTCGCCCATATGCTGGACTACAACCTTGCCCTTCTGGTCGGCCCAAACAAGTCGAAATTGAAAGTTGAGAACATGCAGCAGTATGGGTGGGATCCCAAGGCCATGCTTGGGGATATTGCCGACGTGTACTTGAACCTGCAAGAGAAGAAAACCTTCATCGATGCTGTCGCCACCGACGAACGATCTTACCGCGCTGAGTACTGGGAGACCGCTGAGACCATTCTCAAGCGCTTTGCACTCAAGTCCCCAGAGCAATTGACTGAGTGGGGTCAGCTCGCCGACACCATCAAAAAGACAAAGAACGAGATTGATGCCGAAGATGCGGACCTCGGCGAGATTCCTGATGAATACACTGATCCATTGATGGCGACTTTGATGGACGATCCTGTCATACTTCCACGAAGTCGGCAAACGGTGGATCGCACCACGGTTCGCGGCATGTTGCTAAGCGATCCTATTGATCCTTTCAACCGTACCCCATTGACGATCGAAGAAGTGATACCCAATGACGCGCTTAGGGAGGAGATACAGGCATGGAAGGCGGCGCGACTGGCTGAAGTGCGGGCACAACGCGCCGCATCTGTCAGCGGTGCTGATGCATCAGCAATGGATGAGTCGCAGTGAGCCTTTGTTTGATAGCGATAGTCGAGGTTATTTGCGGCATGTTAGACGGCATGCATTGAAGGCGTTATGGCGTCAATGAGACACCCAAGGGAATTTACATCTTAGACCATACGGAAGGGCATGTACGCTTCGACATCTTGGGTAGCGGGCTATGAGAATATGACTCGACTTGGGAAGGCTGTTTGCTTTGCCCGACCTTGGACCCTAATCCCTATCCATGAATACTACACTTGTGTACAATATGTTACAGGGCATGGCGTGCTACGAAGCTTTTCATGACTCATCCTCTTCTCTCTTGCCGAATACGTATGCCAGACCACATCCTGCAACATTGACAGCGCAGAGACCCAGCGATGCGCCTCGGACAATTCCTCGTGCGCCGAACTTCTGCTTCAGATGCTGTACATATAGATTAGCATGATTTGGAGCAAGCAATAGAAAATTGAGCGCTTACATGTTTTCTCCGCATCGCCAGCAGAGCATACAGGCCACTCCACGCCGCAGTAATGCCTGCGGAATCCTTCTTGTACCCGCTCAAGTTGAGGTAACTTGAAAAGAGAAGGACAGGCGGGAACATCATGGGCAGGCTCTGGAAGGGACGAAAGTGCTGCGCTGTTATGAGAGTCGCGAGGAGAGTCGGGGGTACGGAGTTCTCTGGAGCAATTGTGAATATCAAGGCACGTGAGGGATGCATGGTCTCGTGGGACGTATGCGGGTGCAGGGGCCGTACCTCCCCAGTTGCGCAAGGACCGAATGGTTCCTTGTTTCACGTCTTTGTCTGTCATTGCGGAGAAGTGAGACAATGGGATGGAATGGTGGCTTCGGGTATTGGATTGGTGGTTTGTGACCTGCGGTTCGAGTACGAGGTTCACAAACATGGATGACGTTTGGCCCGTGCCGCGCTTGTTTTCTGGACCGCAAGTCAGCCCGGAACCACTAGAGGCCAGACGTCCATAGCCCCTCTACCTAATCAACAAACGCCCCTCCGCCTCCGCTGCGATAATTCACTGCCGCCGCCAACCTGATCCGTCGTTCCTTACTCCCACCTATTCTCGCGCGCCGTACCGCGAAGGCCACGTTTGGCCATGTCCGCCAAAGCGAGCGGCTCGGACGCCCGCGCCAACGGCGACGCAAAACATCGCCAACACCACGACGGCAGCTCAGGCCGTGCTTACACAGTCGAACAGAAAGCCGCGGTAATACGGATAAAGCGATGCGCGCCCACGGCATTCTACGAGATTTTGGGGCTGGAGGAGGTCAAGACGACGTGCAGCGAGAGCGAGATCAAGAAGGCATATCGGAAACTGAGTTTATTGACGCATCCCGATAAGAATGGCTACGACGGCGCAGACGAGGCGTTCAAGAGTACGTTACAACAAGCACTTTGGGGGAGGAGCGGATGCTAATGCGCAGATAGTGGTATCACGAGCTTTCCAGGTGCTCTCCGATGCGGACAAGAAGGCCAAGTACGACAAGTTCGGCGGCGACCCGGATGCTCGATTCCAACCTCCGCCCAGTGGTGGGTCAGGCTTCGGCAACTTTGCGCGCTCACAAGGTGGTGGACGATCAGGCCCCATGTTCGAGGAGGAGATATCGCCCGAGGAGATGTTCAGACAGTTCTTCGGCGGAGGGGGGCCGTTCGGCGGGCCTTTCGGTATGTCCGCGCGCTCGCAAACGCGATACCAGCGGCTGCAGGCCTTCATGGCAAAAGACAGAATATGAGTTAATACGTGTACAGGCGGCGGCGGCGGCATCTTCGACACCGGCCCAGGCTTCGTGTTCAACCTCGGAGGAGGCGGTCCTGGAATCCGCGTACACCAGTTTGGCGGCGGCCAGCCACGGAGACGACCCAATACTGCGCGAGGCGCGGGCACAGAACCGGCGCCCAGTCTCGGCAGCACGCTGTCCTCGCTTCTCCCACTGCTCTTCCTCTTCATTCTGCCTCTCCTCTCCTCGATATTCGGCGGCGACTCTACGCCCAAGGGGCCCAGCGTCGTATTCGACGGCCCGCGCGGCGCGCAAACACATCCCCTCACGTCGTACAATCTCCAAGTGCCCTACTGGGTGAACAAGCGCGACATCCAAGGTCTAAGCGACAAAGAGCTGAAAAATGTACACAAGCACGCAGAACAGAAGTTCATCCAAATCACAAATGCGAAATGCGACACAGAGAAATACAAGAGGAGCCAGGCCGAGCAGGATGCGTTCGGGTGGTTTGGACCTGACAAGGATAAACTGAAGAAGGCGAGGAGTATGCCCATGCCGAATTGCAAGAAGATGCGGGAGATGGGGTTCCAGGTTCAATACTAGAGTGTTCAGGTGCTTTTCAAGAGCTTCGGCATTATTCATGATAGAAGTGTAATTATGGGTCGGGTGTTGGGCATTGAGTGAGGAGCGGCACAGTTGGTTATACGTCCGCGGCGTATTGGGTATGGTGCTACTCTCTACCTATTGCTTGCAGCATATCTGAATAGCTTTGGGGCATCCGCTAGTGTTGCAGTCGGACCTGCTGCATTTCGTTGCTCATCTTTCATACCATGGCCTTTTACATAGCGTTCATGAGTCGATCGCGAATACCGATCATGGTTATCCAATGCTTTCTTATCTGGGCTCAAACCATCCATCGCGGAGTATGACACTAAGACCATGGCAAGCGCAGCCGGAGCGATATCACGTGTTTTCGTTCGAACCTTCCACTTCCGCGCCAAGCATCAGATTATCGAACCTCGACGACAACGTGCCCGCGCAATTGTGCTCCAACCCACACACCCCATTACCATGCCTCCTCCGAGGCTCCTCTCGCCGCTCCTGCGCGCGCGACTTCAACCATCATACCAATGCCTCCGCAGAACACCCGCAGTGCGACATGCATCCACCGAACCCACCCCTCCGCCCAGCGCCCTGCCCTGGAAGACACCGCAAAGCATAGAAGCCTGGCCGCCCGCTTACATGATCCCGCCGCCCAAAGACGGCGAGATTCTCCTCGAGCGCAAGTTCAACCGCGAGCTGCCTCCGTACGTCCTTCTCCATCGATCTAACCCTCGAATCCTTTGCTAACGCACACACAGTGTTCCCCCGCTGATCCATCCCTCTGTCCTCCGCACCCTCCCCGTCTTCATAATCTCCATGACCATTGCCACCCTCGTCTTCTTCAACTACCAAAAGACCGAGTCGTCAGTCGTAACATCCACCCTCTACGCGCTCCGCACCAACCCCGCCGTGCGCGACATGCTCGGCGACGAGATCTACTTCGCGAGCAAGTACCCGTGGATCCGGGGCGAGATTAATCAGGTGCATGGACGCATCGATATACGGTTTTGGGTGAAGGGGACGAAGCGGGAGGGCGAGGTTAGGCTGAGGTGTAAGAGGCGGGGGAAGGATGGCTTGTATATCACAAAGGAGTGGAGTCTGACGATGGCGGATGGCGAGAGGATGGAGTTGTATGATCCGCAGGGGAATGCAATTGATCCGTTTGCGGGGATGGATCCGGCGGATCAGTAGGATGGCTAGGGAGAGAGCGGAGCATGTACGATAGGATGAAGGTGAGAATGGGGTAGAGGGCGGTCCCATGAGACTGGATATCGAGCGCTAGGGGAGAGACGTTAAGCGTATGTACATTATGTATATATACCATTGTTCAAATAGCACGACCCAATAAGCCTCATTCCCCTAGAGGTCGAACTCCGTCCTACCAAGGCTTTCGTCCGTCGAAACCAGAGAAAGACCAGCGCTGTCAAATCGATGGATCCAAAATCAATGCCATTCAACTAAACTGTATGTCTGCACTGCGCTTTGAGCGTACGCGAGACGATGGCAGTCGCGGGCAGTCTGATGGGTGTGTAAGCTGAGTGTATCAGAGGTAGATGGAATATAAGCATGCTCATTGAAGGCGTTATATATATATACGGTATCCATAAAGACAGGCACCATCCCCAAGCATCCAGTCGTGAGCGATGCCGTAAAGAGTGAGTATCCTCCACTGCAGAAAACGCCTAGAAATGCCCTAAAACAAGCCAACAGACATAGCTGTGGTAGAAGTAAAACAAGCTCCCGCCACCCGAAAAGGAAAGAAAAGAAAGTGGTATCACTGGGTATATGCGTGTCTCCATCGGCCCTCATCCACCCCACCAGCTCAGCGTGGCCAACTAGATCTTGTCAAAGTCGGCCTCGGGCCGCCGCACACTAGGGTGATGCGCCAGATTCGGCCGCACCAAATGCGCAAACTGCGGATTCACATTCAGCGGCGCCGAAATCTCAGGCACGTGCGGGACCTCGCTGTCCCTGTTGCTCCGCTTGAGCCAGAAGCTGCGCTTCGTCTGCCCCGAAGTGCTCCGGCTATACAAGCTGCTCGATCGGCGGTGGTGCCCCGGGCTCGTGAAGGCAGGCTTGGAGGGCGACCCGCTGTGGTACGACGGCAGCACCGACTGCCGTGCAGTGCGGAAGGCGCGGAGTGGGTTGAAGTCGAATTGCGAGAAGCGATTGGGCTCGGGCGAGGAGGCATTGGGCTGTGGGGAGCCCATGTCGACGGGGGGCGTGCCGATGCGCGGGGGCGAGCCCATGCGCATGGCAGGCGAGCCGGTGCGCGCGGTGGTGCCCGTGTGGTGCGTCGAGATGGTGAAGGCCTTGAGCTTGGACTCGGTTTCCCAGTCCATGGGGGGCTCCTCGGTGAGTGTGATGGCGCCCTTGGAGCGTACGCGGCGCGCGGTAATGTTGCGCGCCTTGTCGCGGAAGACGAAGCTTGCGACGACGTTGAAGAAGCCGATGACGATGGCGAGGATGCCGGAGGCGAGGAGCAAGCGCCAGAATGGGAGACCCAGGGATTTTTGAGATGTCGCTTCCTTGTTCATGTTGCCGAGCATGTTGAGGCCGAGGACGGTCATGGAGCAGCCAAGCGTAACGAAGCCGTGCGAAGGGCTGAGGAGAGGCCAATTGCGGGCGAAGTAGCCGCGAAAAAGAGAGCATTCGGACACGACGAGGAACACTTTGGTATGTTAGATGTTTCGTGGGGTGCTTCAACGGATTGTGGACACTTACTGCCAGCTAGTGCAGTCACGACATGGCTGGTAGCATCGAAGAAAAAGAACTGGAGAGGGTCAGTCTGGATTCGAGGCTTGAAAAGGCAGGAAGCATACCTTGGAGACAATGAAGGTCTTCACAAGCATGACGACGCTGCTCGCGACCACGGACGAAAGGGTAATGATGTTGATTACCCGCAGGATATTGAGGATGATGTAGCCTGGACCGGCCAGATGTTCTGCTGAAAGGAGTGCCATTGCTTCGATAGAATGTTGGGAGACTGCTGAGAAGATTGAATGATGGAAAGCTGAGCTGGCCGGCAGTCAAGAGCGCGTCAAGCGGAGGTATCGAAAGTTAAGTCTTAGAAAGTAGACGTTAAGAGAATAGACGATGAAGTTGAGAATAAGAAGAGAGAGATCCCACGCCGCGAGGCAGTGTCTTCTCGCTCAGCAAGAGTCTCAATAGCAGACAATAGGAAGGACAGTGAAGAACAGAAAGAAAGTGGGAGCTCTTGAGGTGAAGGATAGATGAGCCAGGCCCCCAGGCCTGGCGCGGTACCATAGTCGCGAACCTTACAATAGCCTAAGGAAAGCGCCGCGACCCGTTGCGCTGGCGTCTTTCACTTCGTCGAGATTGAGTGGCCAAAACTGCTCCACATGGATTCACCGCAGACTGTGCTACCGTATGAGGCGAAACGCGCCCTCGAAGCAGCTTAGCGATGCCCCGAACGAACCGACTCCCCATAGAACGGATGACTGGATCTGCTCTCTCGCAGTGAAGAGCCTGCAGCCAATGTCAAGCATCCTCGTGGTTGGGCTTCGAGACTCGCGAGGCGAGTGTGGGAGTCGCGCGGCTGCCACGTAGTGATTGGCTCTGCGCGTTTGAGGCGACAGCGGGACGATGTTTCAAGTTCTAAAACGGGCCACGGGCCCTGGCTCCGCAGCCGGGCGGCTAGATTTTCGCAGCCCTTTCATCGTTGGACATCAATTTACCATCATGTTCGTGCGACGGCGGGGCAGCGGCGATTTGCTTCGAGCATTAATGGAGTGAACAGCGTGGGAGCACAGAGCGCGTGGTGGCCGACAAGAGGGCGCTAAGCGGGACTTGGTCATGTCCAATCAAACGTTGCTTCTGTCACGGTACCCTTCATCACGTCAAGAATTTCACGAGTCTTCGTTTCAAACATGAGAATATGTTCCTATTGAGCACGCTGCGCATACCGCTTTCGCTTGGACGTAGTCACTGGTCAAAGGCTTGTTTCATTCCGCGTTACTGTCCCTACATGCTCCACTACTGAGGTCGTTGATTAATTTCTATGACTGAACGTCCAGGTAATTGCAGTGAACCGCCATCTGGTGCCACTTGCGTCAATCACAATATCATCCCGCTACAAATCTCCGATCGTCTGCCAGGAAATCGTAAACTTTTGGCCGAAAAGGCGAGCTTCATGCATTTTACTCTGGTTCTCGTTTTCGACTACCTGCTACATTCTAATGAGCTACTCCTGCTTCATTTCAAGACGGTCTGTAATCTATTCGCGGGGCATGACTAGACGCTGCATCGCGGGGTAGCACTTGAAAAGATCAACGTCCACTTTGCCGTTGAGATCTTGGATACCATCCGGGAACTTGAACACGTGCGGGGTGCCTTGCACTTTTGGCCCGCCCTATCTCAAAGGTCGAATAGTAAACATGTGGTATTCGTTGACTTCCTTTCAGTCCTTCACGGGTCGATACGTTGAAGTCGCGTTGACTGAGATTGGACTAGTTATCACGCCGTGCTTCACGAACTTCTCTTTCAGTTCTTTTGGGAAAGGCTTAGAATTTCTTGAGTGCCAGATCAACTGCTGCCAGTCGTCGCCATGATCTAGTTTCCAGGTCTTGTCGACTGGCTGTGTCAAATTAGTGCTTGCCGAAAATTCGGAGAACAACTACATCGTACTTGTCCTTGATGAAGTTCGCTGAATACTCTCTGCGTATCGCTGGGCGACAAGTTCTTGTTCTATAGAATGAAGCATTTGTGCCCTACCCAGCCCAGCCGAAGTCGTTGGGTGGTTGACTGAAGGCATCATATTGCATACAGTTCTCAAGGGCGATTCCGGTTTCAACAAAGACACTTTTCAGCCTTTCGGTTATGGTTGTCCGATTTAGGGTGTCACATCCGGGTCGAGAAATGTTGTAGTTGGCGCGCTTGTCTTCGATTCCGGCCCCTCCTCTCAACACGGATTCGGATCTTGCAGCTGCTTTAGCTTGCCTTTCAAGTTCTCATTCATGAAGCGCATTGTGAGCATACTCGACGTAACGGATTTTTCTATCCATATTGTCAAAGCCTGCGTGCATCTAACATCTGGTAATTGCGAACTCATGATTCGGGTGCGCAAATCGTCGGAGAACCCGATGGTTTCCATCGCCGCCAACCAATCCTAGTCTTCGTCGTCATCCGCGAACTGGAAGTCCTGATGTATTGAGTGAGGAAGCTGTCGAGCGTCTCTTCCATCGCTCTCTTAAGGACTTTGCCACTCTCAAGGAACTTATCGATGAGTCGCTGCCAGGTCTTCAGTTCAATACCCCACCAAGCCAGCCCTTCAGCGATGTAGAGCGAATCTGGCATCTCGAGGCTTTCAGCAGCCAGCTGCGCAGTGGTGGTTGTGGAAGATTGGAGGATGGCGGTGTTCCATAAGCCGGTTCCGGTGGTGACAGTAACGACACCGACATTTTTACGAACATGGAAATCTGTCAGGGATGTCATACCAGCACAGTATTCGATCAGGCGTATCTAGTTCTCGTAAGTGCGCCAATGCTTGATTTGCTTGCGGATCTTTCGACCCCGGTGTCCACTTAGAAATGCATCGAAGACTTTGGCAGCGTAAGTTGCACCAAAGCATTCGCTGGAAGCCCCGCACAGAAACACCAATGCTGTTCCTGGCTGCGTGGCACAGAAGGCGCGGAGCAATTCAACTTCGTGACCAAAATGCACATCAGAATTCTTAGTCTGTAGTTTCTTAGAGCGATCAAGAGTAATCTGTACCAGCGTCTTGAGCTGATAGTTGCCTTCTTTTGAGAGAAGGAACTCTTGACTTACGCACAGTCCAACTGCGTAAGTGTCCGGATCAATGGACGCACGCGAGAGACGTGCGAGTACTGGGAATGTAAATTTCAGGCTGAATTTCTCCACGTTACTCCAAAGGAGACCGCGTTTGTCGATCTGTCCCGCAGATCGTGTCGAGTCATCGATCTCATCCAGAAGTATCCTTACCAATTTGGCCTGACTCCTACCCTCTTGACTAATCAGCGGCTTTCGATTTACCTGATTTGATTCTAGGTCGCATTTCTCTTTTGAATCTTCCTCTGCCGACTCTTACTCTTTTGCTCTCGCAGTCATCTTTTGCGCTTCTTCTTGTGGCTCTTGGTTTCTACTTCTCTCTTCATTCAGTGGACCTCATCATCCTGTATGTCGTCCTGTTGAATCTGTATTCCTGTCTGCCGAAGCTCTTCTTGTCATCGATCCTCGTTCTCATCTACATTCGCTTCTTCCTGCTGGCGCTCATCCATTTCGACCCCAATCGGTGCGGCGCTCGTTTACCCCCAGAAGCGCTTCTGTCTGCCGGAGGTCCTCTCTCATATGACGTTCATCACGATGTGCATGTTCCAGCAGGAGCTTATCCGCGCATCCCCTGTCTCTGCGGGCCTGGTTTTTGGTCATACCGAGACGAGATCTGTATGTTTTATGCAATTAGGCTATGAAAGTGACAAAGATGCTTACCACAGTATAGGGAGGTTAGACCTTGGTGCTATTTGGTAAGTCGGGCAGGAATGTAGGGCTTCTCCTGCGGCCGTTATAGGAAACTTGGGTCAATTTGTTTGGTCGTGACTACAGTCTCGCATGCAGCAACCTCAGTGACACCAAAAACACGTTATACGCAGGAACAACCATCCTGCGTAGTGTTCGCAGCAAACGGTTTGGAGACAATAAATGGCACTGCTTGGGTTTTTTTTTGAAGTGTCTCTGATTTGAGCAGTGAGGTGCAGATGCTTTACATTTGCGAACCGAGCGTTCCTAGCATATGGTCGGCGTATAAAGGTTTTTGTCACGTTTGGGCCTTTCCTTCTTACTTTCGGGTTGCTCTGGCGCCGTTCAGTGTTTACAGACTCAACATTCGAAGCTTCCTGACTCAGTCGGCTTCGGGCGGTTGAGCCATGGAAACATAACCAAAAGATCTCTCAGTCGGAAGACTGGCGTCGCCATCATGAGAGAAACGTCGCGGGAAGACAATCGTGAAGAACATTAGTAAAAATTACCAGGCGAAGTCTTCGCCTACCCCAAATCCCCGCACTCGCGGAACCTTCCCTCAACTCATCCAGGTTCGGTAGACGCGCCCGACCCCGCACCCCACACCAACCGCTTTCTTACCTGGCTGGGCATCCCGTAGCGCATTATTTCCGGCCAAGCCTCACCAGCAAGCCGGCAAGCATCGTCATATGCACAAGTCGACTCAACGGCAGGGCTTGGTATCTCGTGCCTTTTAACCACTGAAAATCATTTCCGCAAGCGATATGCAAGCGACATCGGATGACGCCTCAACACCAATCACTGCAGAAGCCGATGTGGACCTCTGGGAAAAGAGAGATGGGAGGTGGGTTTTCTGGGGTACTCAAGCAAGAAGCAGGGCAAGAGAAGGACATCGGGTCATTTGACCCGCTTCTTGGTTTCTATGCGCTGCATCAGCACAAACAAAAAGTGGAATAAAGTATCCGAGGTAGATGATTTTGCGTTGCATATAAGAGATCAGAAAGGCAACAGCGTGCAGGGTCCATCCGTGGTACGACAGCGGCTGCACGTCAACGGCTGCGCTCTATTGCAAGCCTCAGCAATCCTACAACTCCGTGATCCTCTTGCCCACACGAGACTTACAGAGCGCGATTGTACCTGAGAACACCTAGTCATGGCACGCAAATACCTTGGCGGGTCCGGAGAAAGGCTCACCATCTGGATCAGCATCGCAGCTAGTACAGTGCTCATGTAAGAGTTGCACGAATGGCACGGAGAGCTTCGTTGATGACCTTATAGCTTCTATGGATACGACCAAGGCGTGTTTGGAAATGTAATTATCAATGAACACTTTCTCACCACCTTCGGACATCCTTCGGCGAATATGCAGGTGAGTTCTGATAGGTTGCCAGCGAAAAGCGGGTTTTGACACTATCAATAGGGCGTGATGACCTCCATCTACAATATTGGCTGCTTCATAGGTGCCATGTCTACAATCTGGACCGGAGATATCCTTGGCCGTCCGCGACAGATCATCTTGGGATCAACTGTAATTGGCATCGGCGCAATCATCCAGACAGCAAGCTACGGCGTCCCTCAGATGATGGTCGGGAGAATCGTAGCGGGTCTTGGCACTGGTATGAATACCGCAACAGCGGGAGTATGGCAAGCCGAGACGAGCAAAATGAGCAGCAGAGGCAAATTGGTCATCATTCAGATGGGTATGTTCGAGCTTTCGGTCCTTCGAGCGCCTACTGAACCGCCACAGCAAACTGCATCACTGGCTTCTCGATAAGTAATTGGCTGACCCTAGCTTTCTCCTTCGCACCGGGCGACGTCGCCTGGCGTTTCCCACTGGCCTTCCAGCTCTTTTTCACATTCTGCATCTACGCACTGTGTCCGTTCCTCCCTGACTCACCTCGTCTGCTCATTCGAAAAGGGAAGCCCGACGAAGCACTTGAGGTTTTGGCAGCCCTCGAAGGACATGGAGCTACTCCGGAATCCGCATCAGTGCGCACGCAGTACAATATCATCAAGGATATTCTCGACCGTGAGCACATGAACACGTATACTTGGTGGCAATTGTTGTCCGGCAAGGGCCCGAGCGGTGTTTTGAGACGCATGATTCTAGGTGCTTGGATGCAGGCCATGAATCAGATATCAGGTACTGCCATCCTAAATCAAACCCACGAATGGTTGTTAACTGCGACTCAGGGATCAACGTGACCAGCTACTACATGTCCTACATTTTCATCAACGCCCTGGGTATCTCTGAGCTACTGAGTCGTATCCTAGCTGCGGCGGGATCAGTAGACTATCTAGTATTCGCGTGTCTTGCCTTCTTCGTGATCGAAAGATACGGGCGACGCAAGGTAAACTCTCAATGCGCGGAGTCAGGCCATTCGAGCTAATGCGGTATAGGTCATGATGGTATCTGCAGCCGCATGCTCAACTTGTTGGATCGTCATTGCCATTGCTCTAGGTTTATCGGCAAATGGTGGAGACTCATACAAGCTTGGCATAGTCGCAGTATCATTCTTCTTCGTCTTCTTCGCCAGCTTTGGCATGGGAGTGCTCGGTGTGCCATGGCTTTATCCCACAGAGTAAGTCGCCAGTCACGAAGGACGAGCTACGGTCCCTAATGAATGCAGGATCAATGCCCTAGAGATGCGAACCAAAGGTGCCTCGTTGGCCATGAGCACGAACTGGATTATGAACTATGCCGTCGTGCAAGTCACGCTTCCCGGGATCCAGAACATCGGCTGGAAGTTTTGGATCATCTGGGCTGTGATATGTTTCTCGTTCATCCCCATCACGTACTTCTTTTACCCAGAGACAGCCAACCGGTATGTAAACTACGATACATGTTTCTTGAACAACACTGACTCATCTTAGCACCCTCGAGGACATCGATCGATTCTTCGAAACGAACCCAGGCTTGTTCGTTCATCGCAACAAGTTGGCTATACAGCTGCACCGACCTGTCGAATTCATTGAGGCTGACGAGCGGATTGCTACAGCACAGGCTGAAGAGGAAAAGAACCTGGGCGAAAAGACGGACTTTGTAGAGATAAAAGAGGCGGTTTAGACGCATGTACCGAAGAAGTGAAATATCTGATTATCGAGATGGGAACCTGCAACCGAATCACGGCTCGTTCTCGTATCCATCCAAGAAATTCACCGTCAGCACGTTTCGCCTCTCCTTGAGCAAAGCCTCTCTCCCTTTCTCCAATAATCGTGTAACATCTTGTCGGCAGTCTGCAAACTCGTTAGGACAGGGCCGATCAACAGCGAATGGGACCCTCACCGATATACAGCCCCCTCAGGTCTTTGCCTTCACCAGTAGCAAGCCATGCGCAAGTCTGCCCGCACAGTATCGGCGGATCCTTGAACAAGCTCTTGAAGAACTCTTCGTCTTTCGGATTGCCATACTTCTCTTGGACATCCTTAGGCGCTCCCGCTACCTCTGGTCAGCGTTGCACATGTTTGCGCAATTTAAGACTCACAAGCGCCCATGCCTGTTAGCACTCCCCCGGGATGCAGCGCGTACAAGTGGATCGCCGGATCCAGCCCATCTAGAGCCATCTCGCGCTGCAGCGTATGCGTCGCACGCGTCAATGCCGCCTTAGACGTAACATATCCCAGTGTCATTGGCACGTCAACAGTAGCGCTGCGAGAGGCGATGTTGATGATGCAGCCGTGGCCGCGGTCGCGCATGCGTGGAAGGAGGGTATGTATTGTGAGAAGAGGCTAAGGTTGGATTATGAGGCTGCTCATAGACAGAACCGACAAGAGACGTACGCCTTTGAAATTGACTTCGATCTGTTTCCAGAACGAATCAAAGTCCGACATAATCAGAGGTCTCTGTACAAGGATGCCCGCGTTGTTCACCAATATGCTACTCTTTCGTGAGTATCTGCTGCGGTACCGTAACCTGAAGTCAGACTCACTCAATGGGTCCAAGATCCTTTTCAATCCCATCAAACGTCTTCACCACAGCCTCCTGATCGGCGACGTCACACGCATATGCTTTCACTTTCGCACCATGGCTCTCGCAGGCTTGTTGCGTCGCTTTCTGCCTGTCAACCGATAAATCTAAAATGGCAACGGCAGCACCCGACTTCGCGAGCGATTCTGCGATCGCAGCACCTATGCCTTGTGCCGCACCCGTTACCACTGCAACTTTCCCCGTGTTTTTGTCTTTGAGTGTCTCTTCGGTGATTGGGCCATAGGGGGCGTGCTGCAGAGGAATCGTCGAGGTGCCAAATTCGTTGGGGTCCATGGCTGATGTTTCTAATATGTATGTCTGAATCAGAAAGTAGATCCTGATGCCGTCTATGTATACTGTCTAGTCTATGCTGATAGCCAATATCTTCAAGGGAGCGTGTGCGGGGTTTGGAGTGACGGGGATAATGCCCCACATGTAAGGTGTGGGGAACTGACATTGGGGCAGAATTGACATAGAAATGCTCCTGCTGCCAGACCAAAGAGGGAGACAAATAACTCCCCCGAGGATTTTCAAAGTGTTCAGGACTCTCGTTCCTGCCTCCGGGTTGGGGTCGTCGACGTCCTCAGCGTCATACTCCCCCTCGTTGTACTCTTCGACATTGTCCTCACCTCACCCTCATCCTCGTCCTCATGCTTTTCCCCAACCTCGAACTTGATGCTATAATGACGGTCGAGATACATCAATCTATCCTGAAAGCAAACATTTTTGCGATACCTTACACACATCTTTGCCCTTTCCTGTCCCGATAACGAGTCTAAAATAGCGTACATGGCATTGTACAGCGTACGGTCACCCATGTCGCGACCCAAGCGGCGGAAATCCTTTCAAATGTCATCTTCCAGCTTCGAGCGAGAGTATCCACTTCGCGAATGGTTTCCGTTGTTGTGCCACGTCCATTCGCGGCGTATCTACCCCTCTTCATAGAGTCTTGTGGCGATGATACCAATATACGAGAATATGATGGTGATGGTCACAGTGCGTCACGATCATGATCAAGCCAGTGAAACGACAGTACATTGGGCTTGGGGCTGCTTGCCTGTCACGACTGCGCTAGCCCTTTTCGAATGCGCGGTGATTGAAGACGGCCTTTCCGCACAGCCATGAGTGTCCATTGTTCGAGTATTCTGCTAATATGCAATAAGAAGCTGATGAGGTGACATTCCACGACAAGATCCATACTGTAAGAGAAAGGTTTTGATGATGCGCGAGATAGTCTCGGAGCTTCCAACACTCCAGTATGTCCCGCCATTGGCTGCTTCCCTCACCTTTTGCCAACGCTCGAAACGACCCTCGCTTACCATATAAAGCAGCTTCGAGTCCTTCGGCAGAAATGCGGCCCCGCTCAACAGCCCTGCTACTCCAGTATATACTATCAGCCAACCAAAGCCACTTCCATATCAGCCTATAGCCTTCTCCTGCTAAGGTCTCCCTTTGATAAGCACATTGCTGAGCGGAACAGACACCACGTTTCCAATCCCGTTGCCAAAGCAAAGGTGTGCATCCTAGGGTTCGCAGCTCCTCGTCTTCCATCCCCCTACTTCTTAGCAATCTCTCCCACGATGCCTGGCCAGACCGCTGGCCAAAATCCCGCGAGCAGCCCGTAGAAAATGCAGAAGACGTACAGGGTTGCGAGATTGGTCGCAAAGCCCCAAACTGTGAGAATGTATGCTGTGACGCCTACGGCGGAGACGAGCATGCAGGTTGTCGCTGAAGTAACCTATGAGCACGCGGCCGACGGTCGCGGAGACGTTTACGAGGATGGCGGCCAGTGCGCCCAAGAAGTTGGATACACATAGTGTGTTGCGGGCGTAGGTTGGCAGGTAAATGGCTGCTTTTGCACGTTGGCAGAGGACTGCATATTAGCGGTAAAGAAGTTTCGCCACCCTCCACCATCGTTTTAGATACACAACGATTTGAACCATGGTCTGTTCGGGTGAGGCCGGCGGTCGGCGGCAACCCACGAAAAATCAACGAAATACTCCGTGTATCAGGAGATGGTACATGGCGACGAGAAGAACAAGCCGGTAGAGCAATTTGCTAGGTGACCTGACGAGACGTGGAAGGCTGTCGGCTCATTCTATGATGTGACAGTATGCAGCAAAGCAAGCATGCATGAGTACTGTTTTCCTTTGTCCGTTGAAGCTTTCTGGTCCGACAGGTAGCAAGGCCCTGACGTTGGGGCCCAGACGCTATTTGAGCTCTAGGAGTGAGACCAGGCATGTCCATCACCAGTCATGGGTGTGGGAGTATACTTATTGATATGAGTATGTGTTCCAGACATGTTGGCTAACGAGAGTATCGCGCGTTAAGTCGAGGTGCCGACCAACGTGCGGCGGTAACGCTGCATCACACTGCCGCGAAATATCGAAGGTAGCGAAAGGTCTCGTTCGGTGTCGTTGCAGCCTGGAAAGATAAACCGTGGTTGTATTCTGTATGAAGAGATATTATTCCGAAAGTGTGGAGAAAACCGAGCCAAAGCAAGGCAGTCATAATTATAGAGTAGGACGGACTCGGGACAGCTGCCAGTCTCACATCGCTCCTTCGACAGTCGTCACCTTCTCGCCTCTTTTGGGAAAGGGAAATGGCCGATCGGACACCGCGCAGGTGGTCCTGAGAGTATTGTCCCGACAAGGCTGTTCAGTCCAGCAGTGGAAGTCACCCAAATTCCTGCCACGCAACTGAAGGGCGGCATCAGAGACGGAAAGGACTAGTGCCAAAGGTCAGCCTCCAGCAAGCTGCTCCGGAGCGGCATCCATCAGAGGATAATGTAGTCAGTTGTTTGGAGCAAAGAAAGAGCATCGTCTCGACTGCACCTACGCCGCTCAAAATCGCCCCTTCTCTTCACATGCGTGGTGCTACTGGGCCGCGCCCCGTCGTCTTAGATATGTATTACTTCAACGTGGGGTTGGTCAGGCCACCAAGACCATACTTCTGAGAAATTCTCTGCTTTTTATGCGCCCAGAAGATTTCCAGAATGATGTACTAACAAGATGCGTGCCTATGGAATCTGTCTGACGGGCTACACGTGCTGACACTAGCCGGATTGGGCAGTCCTACAGGCACGACCAAATCGATGGGACACGCCATCCTTGGCGCCATGGCCTGGGCGTGCTTTCCTTCATCGGACCATCCCCGTTCCCACGCTGCGTCCTGCAGTGCGCACCAGCATCCACAGATATGCACTCACCATATAGAATCTCCACAACTCCGCTGCTGGAACCCGAATACAGGTATTTTCTTTTTCGCATCGCGCGAGCTCGAAGCCCAACAGCCGAGAAGATCATGATCAATCCACGTCGCCTTCTCGCATGAGCGTCACGAGCCACCTCGAACTTGACCACCAAGCACATGCCGGTCTCGGTTTCGCACGGTAGCAGCACTCTGGCCACCGCGTGGGGATCAGATTGGAGCAGAGCAATCGATTGCGCACCCCACCAGCTCTGTCGAATGTCTATGCCCGGAGATGAACGTGACGAGAGACCAGTGGCACGACCCGACGGCGTTTCCGCAGGTCTAGAGTTCCACATATTTGGATTCAGCTTCCTAACTCTGAAAACATTTTCTGCGCTTAAGGCTGGGCTTGCGACTTGGTACGGCATTTTGGCGACAGCGCCGCGCGGGCCAAGAGCGATGGTGTCTTGTGAGTACGAAAAATAACCCAGTCGCAGTTCCGCTCCGCCCTGTAAGCCGAGCGCCATCTTTGCCCAGAGTCCTGGCATTTGGCACTCATGCACTGCCCCGGTCAATTCCACCAGGACGGGCTGCTTCGAAACCCACGTGTGCGCGAGCTCAACTGTCGCTGGTTGAAGATGTATGCGGAGTGTACGGGCGATTGCCTCCCAGAAATCCGTACCACAAGCATATAATGTAGCCCAGGGAAGATGAGTGCATACCAGCACATCACCTCTCACCCTTGCTGAAGTGTACCCGGCAAAAGTCCATTGCCCAACATGGTGTTGACCGACTATACCTATGTGTTTGCCTTTGGCACCATGTTTGCGTTGCTTGAGGCTTACAACAACGGTGCTAGTACGTTTTCGGATATCTCCTAGAATGTTCACCACACATACTGATAGGCCTTTAGATGATGTCGCGAATGCTTGGGCTACGAGTGTGTCGTCTCGCTCAGTTACGTACCGTCAGGCTATGATACTCTGCCTGATTTTCGAGATGACTGGTGCGCTCGCTGTGGGTGCTCGAACCGCGTCCACAATCAAGAACGGAATTATCCCCAACTCTGCCTTTGGAGATAATGCTGGGGTTCAACTGCTCGCTTTCGCATGCGCTTCCGCTGGTGCTTCGATCTGGGTTATGTGGTGTACTCGCAACTCTGCCCACGTCTCATCTACATACTCCTTGGTGTCATCCATCGCAGGTGTAGGTGTCGCAGCTGTGGGTGCTAACAAGGTCCAATGGGGTTGGAGTGGTGGTTCGGTAAGTGGACCCTTCTTCTGAATCAGTGTCTTGCAAGGCAGCGACAGAGACACTGCACGAGACAGCAAGGGAGCTTCGACACGTATACTGACTGGGTGCTCAGGGTCTCGGCGCCATCTTCGCCGGCCTCTGCATGGCTCCCTTCATCTCGGGATGCTTCGGCGCGATTATCTTCTTGCTCATCAAGTACACTGTTCACAAGCGCGCCGACCCGGTGAAGTGGGCTGTGTGGACCTCGCCGTTTTTCTTCCTGATTGCCGGAACAGTCTGCACTCTCTCGATTGTGTACAAAGGCTCACCCAACTTGGGCCTGGACAAGAAGGCACCCTGGTACATTGCGTCCGTCACTCTTGGTGTCGGCTTCGGACTCTTCGTCCTGTCTGGCCTTTTCTTCCTGCCTTACGTACATGCCAAGGTCATCAAGAAGGATTACACGCTCAAGTTCTGGGATGCGTTGCAGGGCCCATTGCTTTTCAAGCGACCTGCTCCCGCGGATGCCGCCCAGGCCAAGGTCCCCAACTACAACGTCATTCAGCATGGCGGCGAAGAAGAAGAAGACAACGGTGAACTCACTGCTCCCAACCAGAACAACAACACCACCGTCAACCACGCAGATGTTCCGGAGAAGTTCAGCAAACATGCTGATGCCGATGCCATCGATGCCGAGTCCGACAACAGCTCCCCACACCCCAACCACGGCGAGAAGGCCCTTGCGCGCGTTGACCTTGGCGAGAACGCCCAATACCAGGATGCCAATGCGCAATACAAGGCTCTCCTCGAGTCAGCTCGTCAAAAACATCATGCGGAACTCAGGAAGAAGAAGGGCCCTCTTGGGTGGGCCATGCGTACTTTGCACGCGAACCCCATGGGCGCAGGCTCAATCTACGAAATCCACAACCTCAAGGCTCTTTGCCTCCGCTTCCCAGCCTATGTTGTCGTCGCCCTGACGTACGGTCTCCACTACGATATCCACAAGGCGTAAGTTTATATTTTATTTGCAATTCGGAGTCTTACTAACTTGCATTTAGACAAGTTGGCGTGCTCGGCACTCCGGAGGGTCGTCGTATGGACCGCGTTTACTCTCACGCGCCCAAGTATGCGAACGAGACCGAATTCTTGTACTCCTTCGTCCAAGTTATCACCGCCTGCACTGCTTCCTTCGCGCACGGTGCTAATGATGTCGGTAACGCCGTCGGTGTCTGGGCTGGTATGTACGCTGCATGGAGCACTGGTAATACTGCCAAGTCCAAAGAGGAGGTTCCGCTTTGGCAGATTGCTGTTGTCGCTCTGACGATCTGTATCGGTTTCATCACCTACGGATACAACATTATGAAGGGTAAGTGACTCCAAGTAATAATACTTCACAATCTAACAATGCGACAGTCATGGGTAACAAGCTTACTTACCACTCACCCTCTCGTGGATCGTCCATGGAGCTTGGTGCATCCATCACCATTCTCATCTTCTCGCAGTACAAACTGCCCGTGTCAACCTCCATGTGCATCACCGGCGCGACTGTGGGTGTTGGTCTGTGCAATGGTACTTTCAAGGCTGTCAACTGGCAACGTGTTGGGCTCTTGTTCTTCTCTTGGGTCATGACCATCCCTATCGCCGGATTGATCGGCGGTGGTCTGATGGGTCTTGCACTCAACACCCCCAGCTGGTAAACGCTTCTAGACTGTATCCTGTACCACTACTATCCTGTTGTAATTACGGTAGGGTCCGTCGGATTGGCTCGCCTGGAGGCGCATGCCGGGGTGGGGTTGCCAATATTAATTTGCTCTTGCCCGTTCGCTACATCGAATACCACTGCTCTCGTTACTTGCAATTGTAATTATCATGGCAAACTTCCTTGCGTAGCTGTTTCTAAAACGGGTTGCCGATATGTGGAAGCCCGATAGCTAGCAAGTAATTCCAGAGGTCAGGTGTTAAAAGCAGTCCAGATGCCAGTTTCGAAGAGTGATCTATGCAGAGGGTGGTTGATGATTTAGCCATGCGTCAGCAGCTTTCCGCCAATCAAACTCTAGCCACATACCACAGCACTTCTCCACTATTTACAGGTGCTACGCCGCAGCGATACGACTTCGCCGGCGACAACGGTGCAGTTACAGTTTTGGCCATTGTAAAGCACTGACCTGGTTCCGCCTTACCGCGCGTGAGCTCTAACATGACCCTGCGCAGTCATACCTGCACGGTTCTTCGTACTACCTCTGCGGGAAATTATCACAAGATGTCAGCATTGCTGTCGAGGGTGTCTAACAGTTCGCACAATTTTAATTTCGATGAAGCCTTGCTCTTCCTGACGACCCGACCCGCGCTGATCTCATTATTTAAGTACGCCCCATTGACATGGACCAAAGTATGAATTTCGATGATGCGGCATGGGAGCATCGGGGCGTCGAGGAAGCGAAGATTGGAAGAACATGGCGAACCTGAGATGATGCAATTACCGTCACACAGCCCATCTGGCTTGATAGCACAACTTCAGTAAGAGTCAGGATCAGCAAAAGATCCGATAATCGATTTGCTTTTGGAGGGTGCGTATTGGAAGTTTCAAAAGCCTGTGTGCAGACTAGAGAACAGCTGGAGTGATGACATTCAGAGTCGTAACCAATCGGCTCCAGTATCGCACATGGGTCCGCATGGTCCGTGCCAATGAGATACTGTGATGCCAATGAAACTAAGCTTTAATCCTCTGTAACCACTCATTGGCACGTAGCGTTGCTATTAATGCACGTGCTGGGGGTTTTCAGAGCTCCTTCAGCGTCTGTAGGTAGAAACCGCCAACAGTGCCAACCACACTGTCGACCACCCTCGTGACAGCCGTCATAAGGTTACAATAATGCGTTTGGTGATGGTTATAGTAATAGCTACTATTTCCAGCGGCGGAAGGGTATTTGAAATCGCAAACGTCAGTACACAATCTTTCGAAGGTCATACCCGTGAAGGGTATTTGTGGCCTGGGTGAGAGGATGTCTATTGCGAACATGCCCTTTGAGATCGCCTAACATGGAAAGACGTTAGCAAGTACATCCGTGCAGGTGTTCACGATCGTAATCCTTTGCTACGAAGGCAAGAAAGTGTTGCATGCATGTCGATACAAACATTTTCTGACAGTATCTTGATGTAATTTGGCATAGCTCAGTGTACGTACCCCGTAAAGAATTGATCCGCAGGTGAATAAGGAGGGGGCACTCTGGAAGCAAATATAGTTTGGATCCAAGTACATCTCTCGAAGACCGTGTAGACTCTCGATGATGCTTTCCATGGCCTTGTATCGCTTCAGGTCGATTTGTTCTATCATTCTCTTCGATTAGAAGTAGTGAGCTGAGCGGAGGGTTTACCTGTCACTATTTCTGGGATAGGTAGCCCAAGCGTACACATGGGCTCGTAACATTGCTTGATGGCGATGAATGTAGCGTTTGTAAACTGTTCTTCCCACTCAAACACCCACGCAATTCAGATACACAGTGTCAGATTGCGACAGTAGTTTGATGGAATGGGAGAAACAGTGGTGATGTTCCCCTTCCACATGTCGGTGAAAATTTCCACCGCCTCGGAGCACTCATAGTAGTCGACGAGAACTGCAATCTTAGCAAGATCATCCAGGGATACTTGCCGGGGAACATCACGATCAGGAAGGCATTGCTATCCCAATCGTCTGCGTGAATGTGTATCAAGCTGTCTTTGCCGTCCCTTCCAGACTCCGCCTAATTTGTTTTGTCGAGGGCACAACGGAACCACGGTGATGCTAGTACGAGATGGCGCGAAGAAATATAATATCGAATACTTTCTTCGGGCTCGTTGATCGGGAACAGCATTTGGTTCTCTTCCTACGTGATAGACATATGACACTTAGTCTCCGTTACGCCGATTTGATGAAGCGTGCAACCAAATTTGTAATTGTAAACACGGTCTACTTACCAACATAGCATTCTTCTCACTTAGAGCTTCCTCCCACGGAGCAAATACAACGCATGGATTTCGCAACACGATGACAGTGTCCGGATCGGGATCAATATGATGCTCCAGAAGCGTCATTGTTGTACGTGTCAAGACAAGAGTTTGCTCAAAGATATAATCGTGTTGGCTGACGAGGAATTCGCAGATAGAAATCGATTTTGTGCCGCCCCATTCGCGAAAATGTAGCAGCGTGCCTTCTCACCGCCTGACCCGGGAATCTGGTAAGATGCGACGTCATGACGGACGTAACCTCTTATGGGTAACGTTATAAAGGTCTTACGATCCAGGCTGTCCATAGACTTCATTCTAGTGAGTGGAAGAATTATTTCTCTCACAACGCAGGTTTTGAGATCCCCCTGATCTCTTTGTCTTCATGTAATTTTTGCGGCATGTCAGCTAAGTTAGAAGCATCCCGTAGTGTGCTACCTTCGGTAGGACAACTGAGATTACACAGCGTTTCCTTGCATGCTAATCGGACACTTCTTTTAAGTCCGGGACTCGAGGGGCAAGATGTGTGCTTTGTCAAGACATACTCGCGGAGTAGGCACTCCATGCAGTACAATTGTGGTTACAGAAAGACTAGCGTACCCGTCTCAACCATAAAAGCGCCTACAAATAGCGTCTTCTCCACAGCAGCAACGAATCAGAAATCTACGAGAACTGATTAAAGAAACCCCAGATCTCATCCGGCGTGTAGCTGCGAGCGCCACTGTCACTTCCGCCATCCACGGGTGCTGGAGCATGGCCACCGTCAAATGCTAGCCAAGTGACTGGATACCCGGCCTTGCATCCTGAGTATGACGTCTTGACATGCGTTTTGCTTCCTGCAGATGGTTCCTTGGGATTCATATTCGTACAGCCGTTGTTTTTGACAAAACGATCGCGTAGGTTTCGCCCGCCAGAGATAGGAAGCGTGCCGTCGCTGATTCCATGAATTCCCAGATAGGCAATTGGGTCATTACCGCCATCGCACCCACTCAACTGCCCTCCAGAGATGACAGCAACTGCGCGGAAGTCTTTAGCTCGCGAGCACGCGATTGAAAAAGACATGGACCCTCCATACGAGAAGCCAGTCGCAAATCGTTGTGTTGTGTCCACACAAAGGTCGGCTTCAATCGCTTTCCTCATTGCATCCACGAAGGCAAGATCTTCACCGCCACTGTTACCCCAGCCGTTGTTTAGGCCTTGTGGCGCAACAAGGATAGCTGTCTCAGCTGACTTCTTCTGCATGCCGTAGTATGCCCATAGCGCTCCATCAGACCCTCCACCCGCGACATCGTTCATTGTGCCGCCAACCCAGTGAAATGCAAAGATCAACTTGTAGGGTTTGCCCTTATCGTATCCAGATGGGACGCGAATGATGTATTGACGATTCTTTCCATTCACGGTGATGGACTTCGTGCCCGAGGTCGTGGCCGGTGCTTTCCCACAGCCAGCTGAGTTGGCGCGTTTAGCAAGAAGGCTTACTGGGATACTCAGGGTACTTGAGGTCTTGGAGAACATCGCTTTGCTTCGTGTCAACGATATTGAAGAGGTTCAGGTCAGGTGCAAACTCACGATTGTCATAGTAACTCGGTGCACCAAGCACGCCGGCTACCCCGAGGAGGATCGCACCCACCAGAGAATAGACCTGAACCATATTACTGGAGGCTATGAAGAGGTGAAGAAAGTATGTTTGTTGGAAAGGATTGCTTTCATCAGGAATACGTTGATAACCGCTACTTATAGCCGTCGTGATTATTCACCTGGCAGGTTTTGGTGGCTGATTGGCTGCACAAGTTGCTTAACCATCCGGGCAACTCATCGAAGCCCAGATTTGCCGGGCAAAGCAACTATATCTAGGGTCTGAATATCGTTCATACCCGGTTCAACATCAAAAACTAGGTAAGCGAGGCAGTTTACCAGGTACATGAGCCGGAAGCTTAGGATCGGAAGAAGTGTAATGTTCCGAGGCATCTCAGATCACCACCATCCCCGCATTCTTAATTGGATTCATCTCAATGTACACTAGCTATAGGGGGTTTGTAGCGAAGTTGTTCCGCCAGTATTCACGACAAAAGCGGGTATAACAGTACCGGCTTGAATCAATATTTAGCATCATGGTCATTGGGTTTGTTGACATTTCCACCAGAATCAAATATGACCTCTAAACTACTCTTGATCTTTGCAGCTCTCTATAGCAAACTCGTAGCCGGAGTTGACTTCTATGTTGCCACCGATGGTTCTGACAGCAATGCGGGGACATCGGCAGGGGCCGCTTTCCAAACGCTTCCGAAAGCGCAACAAGCCGTACGCCAGGTGACGAAAGGCATGACCGAAAACATCACTGTTCATGTGGGACCTGGGATCTACACGCTCTCCACACCTCTCAAATTTAGTGCGGATGACTCTGGCCAGGGTGGATTTACAGTGGCTTGGGTTGGGCAGAATGCTTTGATCTCTGGAGGACGCAAGGTCACAGGGTGGACTGCAGGGTCCAACGGTGTGTACTCCGCCAGTGTCCCATCTGGGGTCAAATCAAGGAATTTGTATATCAATGGACAGGCATCGAACTACGCCCGCAGAAAGATAAACCGGAAAGACTTCTCGTACACGAGTACATCGATGAAGTGGACATCGGGCTCCTACGATTGGCTCACTTCAACAGCCGGCATCGCGGATGCTGAAGTCCGCTTCATCAATTCCTTCGCAGATCGTTATGCGCCTATCAAGGCGGCCGCTAACCGGGAGCTGGTCATGGAACAGAATACATGGTTCAATCAAAACTGGGGATACGACACCATTTCTAAGCCCAACGCTGACTTTGGTGTGTGGGTTCAGAATGCCCTGGCGTTGTTGACAGAGGGCGGACAGTTCTACCTTGATTCTGGAGCCGGTAAGGTCTACTATAAACCACTTTCTGGCGAAAAGATCGAAAGTGTCGACGCGTACCTTGGTATTCTGGAAACACTCGTAGTACTTGGTGGATCGTACGACAACCCAGTCCATGACATATCTTTCGAAGGCTTGAGCTTTGTAGGTTCACTGTACCCTTTTGTATGGGTTCAGTCTTACTGATACGCGCAGGCGCACACTACTTGGCTGCAACCGAACTCGATTGGGTACATTGACCAGCAAACAGGCGGCAACATCTGCGAGAACAAGACTTATGACACTTCGAATTTTGAATCTACCCGTCCCAACTGGTGTCAAATGCCATCTGCAATCCAGATCAGCGCGGCCAAGAATATCTTCTTCTCGGGAGGCAACTACACTCAGCTTGGTGCAGGCGGCATAGGCATTGGTAATGATGCAAACGCGCACATAACCGGTGTTGGACTAGGGGCAACGAATGTTGCCGTAAGAGATGGATACTTCTCCCAAGTCATGGGAAATAGCATAACGGCTGGTGGTATCCGAGCTGACGCACATCACCCCAGCGATAACCGCATGATCAACTCGCGCCTTGAAATCTCCGGCAACATCTTCCGCAACGTATCCTCGCTCTTCAGCTCCACAGTCCCCATCCTCGCGACCTATATCCAGAACTCGCTCATCTCTCATAATGACATCTACATAGCCCCATACTCAGGCATCTGCATCGGCTATGGCTGGGGCTCCAACGACGCAGGCGGTAGCTCTGAATACGTTAATAGGGGCTTATACAAGTACCAACCGCAATACACGACGCCAACAGTCATGCAGAACAACCGCATCGAGGGAAACCTCATCCACGCATACGGTCTGTCGCACACGGACCTCGGCGCTATCTACACGCTCTCGAAAAGTCCGTCGACATACATCACGCAAAACTATGCCTTTGACTCGAACGTCGGTTTCGGTGTATACACTGACGAAGGATCGAACTCGTACATCATCCAGAATAATATCTTGCTATCGAGCGGCAGCTGGTATGCGAGGAATGGCGTCAACACAGCGAACAATACCATCACGGGAAATTTTGGGAAATCGGGACCTTCCATGTCGGGGAACACCATCGTCTCGGATATCTCCAAGGTTTCGGCTGATGCGAAGAAGGCGGCAGACAGGGCTGGTGTGTTACCGGAGCGACGCGGTAATCGACCCGTGTCAAACCCCAAATAGGTGGTTAGCGGGGTCAAATAAGCCACGAGCGATCTATAGCTGTTCAGTTGACATACTAGTGGTGCTGTTATAGGTGATCATAATCGTTGTTACTCCATATCTGCAAGATCTGTTATTTGATCGTGTTGTGGTCCATAGCCATATGTAAAGCAAAAACCGATGTTACATCCTTGAAACTTGCGTACTTCTGTACAGAGCTTATCAATGCTCAAAACAGTAGGGCAGCCTTATCCTGGTTCGCGACCGACAATCGCAGGCCTCTCATTTTTCTTCTCAATGAGCCCTCCATGATCGATCCACACTCTAACGAGCTTGCTGATTTAGCCTTCCAGATGTAGAACGGAGCCGAACAGTGTGAGCCCCTGTCGAAAAGTGCACTTCCCGCTTCTTTCAACACCTTGGCTCGTTTGTTTGGATCATCGCTATTCGTAGTCAACCTGAACGTTTGTAAGACGGCGTAGTTGCTACCCACTCCCCAGATTAATGACAGTAGTGCTGCAATTTTCGGAAATGCCGTGTCAACGGCGCAGTAAATCAACACTGCTTTCATTATCTCGAACTGAGCTTCATGGCGGAAGACGATAGATACCCATGACCACAATGAAGCGTAGCGATTGACCTCTGCTGGGTATTCTCTGGCAGTATTCCTCGAGGTTTGTGCACAGGCATCCGCGAGAAACTGGACGGCCGGGTGACACTTGCTTGCCTACACCACGAGGGCGATATCGGCCACCGTAACATGTCCAGACATTTTGGGACGGGGCTTGTCCGATGGTATATTATGCAGAGTACATACAACAACATAGGCGGTTGTAGTTCTTGCGCAATGATATAGTGTATGCCGTCTGCATATGGCTGTAAGTTAGGGAGCATGTCGTTGAAGAGCGGTGAGGCTGCCATGAGAACGCCGGAGTAAACGCCGAACTTGAGACTGTTCTCCTTTTTGATTGTACCGAGAACGGTATGGGTGGCCGATGGCCGCTCTCCTATCCCGTCAGGTTAGAGACGAGCTTCAGATACGCCATATGAGGGGATTTTCTTACTTGCGCCATCATCGGTGTCGGTTATGGGAATGTCCATGCTAACCTAGTCGCTCTGGACATCGGAGTCGTTGCAGTTGCTCTGTGATTAGTTGCCGTTTCCGAGGACTGACCAAACGCTGAGAGGCTTGTCAAGGGTAATTATGACATTCGGGGTTTGCACAACAACTGGGACAGTAGTCCCGATTTGCGCAGGGAAGTCCTATGAGTAGGGCAAGTCTAGAGTTTGGTGAGCAGTGTGATGCTTGCAAGAGTGAGAGGGTTTGGATGAATGGGCTTGGGGGATTGGCCATCTAAGTTCGGGCGCACGAGCGAACGAGGAAGGCACGGCCGGCGAATCAGGTCACAGCTTTCAGCGGGCGCATCGGCAGGTCTCATCTTTATCTGAACAACACAAGTCAAATTGATTCAGCTCTATCTCTATATCAAATCGATCGCGTCAATAGACACGCCACCGCTCAAAAACCCACTGCCTGTGCTGCCCGTGATAACGCTTAGCTTGAGAATCTGCCAATCGCTCGGATTCGTCAACCAAGCGCTCGCCGGGACCGTCCAAGTCAGCATCTTGTTGTTCCCCCGGTAGGTACCGACCGTCAAGCTGCGCGTGCCGCCCTGATTCTGCGCAGGCGTAAGAGAAGGAGTCCAAGAGTTGATGCTGATCATGGGGCGACCACCGATGAAACCCTCCGTCATTCCAATGCGCAGTGTGGCGGAGCTGGCGATTTGCGCAGCATTGAGACGGAAGTATATCAAATGGTCGTTGTTTATGTCCTGCCATAGGTAACCGCTGCTAAGGTGTTAGCGCATGTGCAAGGACTGGAGAAGGTAGACATACGGGAATCCATTTATGCTCGTTGTGCCAACGATAAAATTAGAAGGGTCCCACGACTTCAAGCGGCTGTCCGATGGATGCATGTACGTCGGCTTCATCGGCGTATCTTCGAAGTTGAGGAAGCCTTTCGGAGTACCATCCCAATCTCCTATCCTCCAGATAGCGGTGGTATCCTGCGGGTCACTGGGGGTTATGCTATTCAGAGCGAGAGCATTGCCGGCTGTTACCGTCACAGACTGTGTTACGACTTCAAGCTCGCCCTTGTAGATGGTGAGCGTGTAAGTACCTGGGAGAACGTCCTTAATCTTGAAATACCCCGAGCTGCTGTCGCTGACGCTCCAGTATTGCGCGTTGGTATTGCTGAGACCAGCTACGTACTGGAATCCGGCCTTCATGTTCTTTATTCCTACTGCTGCTACAGAACCACGACCAGAAGTAGGAACCCAACCATCGATCTAGTTGAGTCAGTGCTTCTATTTGGCAAGGCATCGAGCAATAGAGAGCTTACACCGAGATTATTCACCCACGTAGTATCTGTATTCTTCGCAAAGAGACTCGAGGCAGGAGCGCCTCCAGTCGTGAACGCCAGGGTGCTGTAACCGTGAAGACCATACCGCATAGGATCAGTGTGACCTAAAAGGAACATCAGCTACCCTCATATGATGCTTCACAGATTTAGAGACAAAATACCCATGCTATACCAGTAAATATCATAGAGATCAACGCCACCACCACCTCGTCGTTGAAGCGAACGGAAGAATGGTCCACCAGAAGCTTTCTCACGATTGCATCTGATCATGAAAATACCAGCGCCCGATTTGGTGTATCCAACGTAATCGTAGTCGATAGTACGACCATACTTCAGTCCTGTGTAGTGCTTACTGTAGGTATTTCCACTGGCATCGGCATTGACATCGCCAGACTCAATGGTAGATGCACCATCCGGAATCCAGTCTGTGTCGGTACTCTGCCTTGTGAAAACACCATCAGGAATGCGTACAATATAGCGTTGGACTGTAACGCTGTCGTCCTTCTTGTTGACAAATATGTACACATTCGGCATGTTTTGACGGAAAACAAGCCAATGTTTCAGTGTGCCATAAATAATGGAGACTTTGATAACTGCCGGGCTTGAATACTGGGTGATCGAAACTGTGCTGGCACCGAGCCCTGATTCGACGTGGCTGTTCTTTCCACTTTGTCCGTTGTATTGAATACCGTTATAGACGATCGATGTCATGTCACCATTGGACTTGCTGACTTTAACGACAAGAGAGGCTCCGGTGTCGATGACAAAATTTCCGCCATCATCACTGTATCCCCAGGCAGCAAATGCCGCTGGCAGAATGGAAAGCAATGCCAATAGTGTAGGGAGCAACATATTAGCAACCTTTCTGTGTCGTGAATCTGACAGCAGAGGAAGGCGTTAAGAACCCATCAAGAGCTTGCCGTGGAAATGACACAAGGAACCGAAGAGCATCGTTCGGTCAAGGGTACACCGGTCGTTCATTGGGATGAACATATATCCTCCTATCTGAAGTCTTCACACAACACCTAGGAACCAGCATTAGACATTAGCTCCGTTGAAGATACTACTTTCGTACTGAGCTACGCCAGACTTGGTGATCCCCGGCCATGTGCCAAGCAACGCGCAAGTGCATAAACACACAATTTTCCGAGGCTAGTCTGATTGACGGAATCCGGGGTAACGAAAACCGCGCTCCCGAGGCGTACCACATATTGTCTATATCATTGTTACACCTCGTTCGATTTTACCGAACGTGTAGATGCTTAGTATTGCAAAACAGCGAACATGCGGCAGACTTAACGTGAACACCCATTTGCTCGAAAATATACCATTGACCCTAGCGCTGCCGCGCCGGAGCGAGCAGCTTCTTAGTACTATGGTAGAAGTATGTGCAATTGAGCGAACGTGGAAATTTGCCGTCACATTAGCCGGTGCTGTGGCCCTCAGTCCTCATCTTTCTCAATTCGGCGCTTATACAAAAATTTGAAAAGCTGCTAAAAAGTAAAGTAACGTAAATAAAGGTATTTAGATGTCGAAAGCGGATGTAGTCGGAGGAGTTGTTTCTTGGGTTGCATATAAGACCTGTTGGCCCGCTTTCACGTTATAATGAACTCAATGATTATCCGGGCAGTCGACCTCCACCGACATCCCAGCTATCTGTATCGCTACTCGATCTCTAAACATATCAAGGAAACGTCAGCACTGAGCATTTCGAAACCACATTTGCAGTCTCGCCTCTTTTCAACCAAAGAGACTCGTTTTAGTCCCACCGACAACCGGAATAAAAAGTTTCCTTTGGGCCGACGGGTCTCACAGTTCGATATTTCTGGAATTTATACACATTCATTACTAAAGACCATTTCTTGGTTGAGGCTAAGCACTGCAGCCCTTCGGGATATGTTAGATCCATTACATACAACATCATTGATTTACAAACTCCTCAAGTCTACGTGGATGACATGCCTCGCCTACAAATTCTCTGAGCATCTTCCAAGTCCTCAATCTTCTTGTCCAGCCTCTTCCGCTGCTTTTGAGTCTCCTTATCTTCCTCCGCCAATTTCTTGATGAGTTTCCCATCCATCTGTGCTACTTCTGTGGGGTTGAACACGTCGGTGAGGCCGTCCAATAAACAGCCTTCAACCGCGAGTACCACAATATTGTCCATAAAAACCCGAATAGCTCCCTGCACGCAGTTGATTAGCAAAGTCCAATGATTTTATCCTGCCTCCCTCGAACTTACATCATAGTATGCCTGAACCATGGTAAGGGTGTTTCCGAATAATAATTCCCCAGCTGGCACCGCTTTGTCTGCATGCAACGCATTTACGACTTCCGGGATGTTCAACGCCGGACTGGGATGGAAGCTCATGTTTTTGTTACCCTGCTGATAGTTCTTCAATGTCGTCTGAGTCGCTTGTCTCGCTCGATCGTTCGCCAACCTCATCGCGTTGAGGAGATAGGAGGGATCTTCTGCAATGGGATGACCTTTCTCATACGGTTTGAGCAACTCCTCTAGCTTTTGCTCTACATTCGTTTCCCGACTTTCAAGATAGTCATAGAGAAGGTGGTGCTTCAGGGTATAGGCTGTTTCCTTGGAGGCTATGTGGTCCGCAACAAGATCAAAATGGCTCCAAATGCACTTGCAGACATTTTGGAGATGATCTTTTGCCAATCGTCTCCAGGGCTTGGCTTGTTTCTTGAAGATGATGCTGGGCAGGTTGGGGTTGACGCTTCCCATAATCTCAATGCCCATGCGGGCTGTAGATTCCTTTCGAATTTCCTTGAGGTAAGCTTCGCGAGTAACAATCTCAGGTTCTGATTCTGTGGACGGTATCTCTTCATATATATCAACCGCTTCAAAAGAAGGCCAGCATCGGGGCGGAGTATCTGGAGAAGTATCAGAAGGGTTTGGCTCGACAATTAAAACAGAGTGACCCGCGAAGCGCATGTTAGAATAGAATTGCTGATTGAGATTCCTTATCGACGCCCGAAGGAAGTGCGCATCTCCGATTGTAGGATCAGCAGGGAAGAAGCCTGCTTCGTTTTCGTATTGTCCACCACTGGCATATTCGACGATTCTTTGAAATTTACTACTAAGTTGCGTCAAATAGTCTCGCTGGGTTTTGGTATCTGGACGTGCATCTCCTAGTCGGGCGCGCTTTAATTTTGCTTCCGCAAGTCCCTCCTTGATCTCGTCCATGAGCTTTGGCATTTCCTCACGGATGTGCTTTTCGAGGAGCTTGCTCAGACGATCGCGAAGGTTGTTCACACCCAGTTGGTCCTTGTTGAGACGCTTTGCCCACGACTGCTTGGCGAAAAACTTCTTCTCCATTGCATCTCGGTCGTTAAGAGTGGAATAGTAGTCTCTTGGACCGGCATTGCGTACTACATGCCATCCAAGCTCATAGTGCCAGCCTTGAGTTTTGTTGGTAGCAAACTCCACAAATTTCGGGATGGTGTTCTCAGCATATTGGGCTAAATCGGGTTTTGTGAAAACGCAAATAGTCCGCTTGCGATCTGGGTCGTGCTCCTTGATCAACTTCCAGATTCCGGTAACGTTCGTCTGGGTATCGGCCCCGATGACAGCAAGAATTATGCTTTTCTTATTTGCCATGTACTGTGAGCACAATTGCCAGGGAATGTCGACATCTTCCTCTTTCTGTTCGGGGTTTGCTGCAGAGATTATTCCTGGGAGATCAACAACCGTGAGAAGCGGCCAATGTGGATCGGTGACTTCTACGTGGAGTGTGTCTGCAAAGAAAGAGTTTGTGGATGGGTCTACTCCAGTGACAGCGTAGAGCCCGGCTTTGGCTTGGTTCACAAGGTTAGGAAACTCGTCGATGTTCTTTGTTTCATAGTTCCACTGTTTGAAGTCTTTGACCTCTTCCTCTGTGCGCTTTGGAGATGCCTTCAATTGAACCTTCACCTTGCGCGTGGGCCCGCGACGAAGAGCGAGTTCGGTTGGGAAGAGTGTACAGACTGCGGAATCTTTGGGAAATGATACCCGAGATATTGCTTCGAGAACCGAGCTCTTGCCAGATGACTGATCTCCGCAAACAATGATTTGAGGAAAGTCGATGATATCGCTGACACCGTGATTTCGAAGTTTGTCAATCAGATTAAGCAACGCGGCTTGGTTCGACGTCAAAAGTTCATCAAAAACTGGTGCATCGATGGGTGGCGTGGCAATGACGGGTTCGGGAGTGGAGGCGGCCTCATCGTCGCCCGAAGGAGTGTTCGACATGATCCCGTCAATGAGGAGAAAGGTGTTCGCTGCGAAAATGGACGTATGGATTTCGCTTCATATAGATGCTCCAGAATACTATGCACAGCCGCAAGGCTTCTTCCAGTTCTTGGCGGTGCGTCGTACTCGATAAGGGGGGTCGTAAAGGATTTCCTCACATATGTATCTAGTCGTTAAAGCCACAAGGCTGCACTTGTCGCGAATTGCGACCATGCATTTTCCGCCTGTGAGGCGTTGCTCATTGATCCAGCAACTGGTCTTGAAGCATTGGCGATGATCATTTCCAATCTTTGAGGAGAAATTGCGTTGTTGGCGCGCGCGTCCGACGAGCCCAACTGATTCCGCCCAATCATTATTCAATGAAATGCCAGGGTCACGGCGCTTTTGTCGGAGAGCACGCCACCAAGAGCCGCAGCATGCATTAGTGCTTACATCGTATTGTTTCAAGTGTAACGTGTTTGAGGAGGCGACTTGGCTGCAGGTGGTGTGTAGTCCGCCTCGTCAATCGCGTTTGCGCCACGTGACTTCCCGAATAGATGACCGGAGGGCTGTGAATTCAGAAGCTCAGTTGGGAGAATGTTCCTGGATGTTATTGTAATCCACCAATAATCCACGGGAGTCATCGAGCTCACTGCTAACACCCGCAGCAATAGTCGTCTCCAATGCGTTTCACGTATTGTGAGAAAGTGATGTGATTACTGCGACCGGGTTGCGGTGAAGCAGGACGATCATAACAAGACCTTAGAACATGACCAAAGCTTTGATCCCAACGCCTCAGCACTCCTGACTTTGCGTCTATCGATGTTGGAATGCATGTGGAGATTAAATTATGAAAGAATGTGAACCAAAGCGAAAGATGCAACTGTTCTGCTCAACTATGGATTGGAAGCATCATCCTGAGGCATCAGGGGAACACGTACAGAGAATTCACCATCACTAATGTTCCAAACCCTTGTCTCGAAACTTTTTTTTCAGTGGCTATATGCGCGTCTGTTCCAGACTGGGACTCCATTGTCTGGCGTAGCCTGTGGCCACTGAGACTTAGTGTAGGACATGGCATCCTGGATTCTCGCATTCCAGTCGCATGGAGTTGGGGTGCTAAAGGCAATCCAGAATACCTTTTTGCTACCTCTGCCAATCGTCGCACGTCCAACATCGTATCTTCATCGTTTTAGTTACTAGGTAGATGCTCATTCTACTTTTTCTCGGTTTGGTCGGAGGCGGCACTAGCGTATCACGACTTCACAGTGTTCGTACTCGATGGAAAGCTTCAGACAAGTACTGGCGTACATGTCCATCCTCACAATCATCCCTGCCATTGAAACGTGACGTTAACCCAAACCTGTACTCTCGCACATGAAGTTCAGCTTGTTTGCTTGTTCGCAGCTAGCCTGAGGACACGGACTGAATGTCATGGTCGGGCCTTGTGGTTCTTTGAAAGGCGCACAAGAAAAGGAGCTGGTTGTATGGAGCTATTTCTCGGAATCAGCTTCAGGGACAAACTGCTCAACTAGACTAAGATGTTCCAATCTTGCCATGGCGCACTGGAAACCTGGGACGCGGGACCAGCCTAAACCATAAAGACACTCGTTCACAATCAATTCTCTGGGAGGCAGTATACAATCTCGCAATACCTGGTCTGCTTATTTACTCTTTGCAGCGGATTGTCTCCTTCACGTGAAAATTACGCCACCGTCAACATGGACAAAGATCTGGAGAAGAACCACGGTGTTGTGCTCGCAATGTCGGAAAGCTCGTGTAGATCACCATTCATTGCATCCCAGTCAAGGTCCAAGGTTCTACGGACGGAGTCCAGTATCGCGTTGGGCGAGTTTGTTGGGACGTTTCTCTTTCTTTTCTTCGCATCCACCTCAACGCAAATCGCTTCAGAAGCCGCCATCATCGATCCGTTCATACCAGCAGGCTTCTGAGCCACCGGGGATACAAAAGCTTATCTACGTCGCTTTCGGATTCGGTTGTGCCCTGGCTGTTGATGTGGCGATCCTTTCGGATGTCGGTGGTGGCATGTTCAATGCCGCTGTGCGTATCCCACGTGTGGATCCATAGCCGACATTTCCACCTCAAGTGTCATACTGATATTCTGAGTAGTTCACCGCAGCGACTTGTCTCGTAGGTCTTATCCGTTGGGACCGTGCTCCCTACTCCATCACCGCCCAACTCTTCACCTCCGTCCTTCCGTCTTTGGTCATCTGGGCTCTCCTGCCAGGTCCCGTGCCATTCAATGCGGCCTTAGATCCGACTGTATCGATTGCTTGTGGACTGTTTCTGGAGATGTTCCTCACTGCGCAGCTTGTCTTGACAATTCTCATGCTTCCATCTAGAGGTGCCAAGCCGCTCTACATTGGCAAGGCTCTGTTCACTGCAGAAATGGCTAGTGTTCTCTCCACCGGTAGCTTTTTGAATTCTACTGGGAGTTGCGGACCTACTAGTGATCGGCTTTCAGATCTGCGGCTAGATTTATTGGCTGGTACCTGGCTTGGGTGCTGCGCTCGGCAGTGGAGCTCAGCTTGATTAAGTTCATCCAGCACCAATGAACGCCAATTCCATCGGATGTATCGTACCTTTGGAAACCAGTTCTCTTGCTGCTCTTGCAAGCTCCAGTCTATGCTATACAAATATGAATCATGCATTCATTTTTTCTGTCAGCGAGGTACTTTTTCCTTCTTTTTTGAGAAGCTTTGTTGGATGGGATCTCAATCCGCATCTTGCTTCATTCCCTCGTTTCATCTGCACGACATTTGGATCAGTTCACGTTAGTTTCGAGAGTGTAACAATCGACGTTGCGTCAGTTGCAAAATGTCACAGCGATCTACTGGCTGATGACTTGTAATCTAGAGATTTATGTCGCGGGACGTTACTAAGCCAACTCACGTCATCGATCTCCATTGCGGTTCTCAATTTCCAGTTCTTCAAGTACACAGGCATGACCTTTGCCAAGTCGCAGCGGATTGCATCGAAAGGTCGCGGCTAACAGAACAGTGAGCAGATGGCACATAACTTCGTATCATATCAGACCCCGGCACTACTCCCGGGAAAGCCCACCCGGGGAAAGCCTTCATGAGACTCACAAAATAGGATGGCGAGCAAGCGATGTGGGGATGCTTGCAGCTATTCATCCATATTAATGAAGCGGATCGCGGTACTTCGGACCCAGAACGCACCATCTAAAACCATATACACAAGCAGATGCCATACAACACTGCACTGCTGCTGTATTCTGCCCCATTTAAACTATATAGTAACTGTGTTCTCAATTACGGGTACGAAAAGTGACCTGGCCTAACATCTCAGATCTTTGTCAACGCAACGATGTTCGCCGTTCTGAAGCTCGCCTTTATAAGCGTGGCAGCTCTTGCCACGGTCGCGTCGGCTGATGCTATCCTCGACAATCTCGCGCGCGAGGTGTCTCGGGTCGAGTCGATTCGCGAAATCAAAGACGTTCAGCGATCCTTTGCACACCTTGCTCAGTTCGGTCGCTTCCACGATGCCGCGACCCTCTTCACGACAGATGCGACGTTTATATGGGGAAACGCCAGTGTGACTGGTCGATCAGCGATCGAGAACTTTCTGAATGCTCACACGGGCGAAATGAATGGGAGAAAGTCGAGTTCACTGAACACGCTGGTGATAGAAAATCCTGTGGTGAGTCTCAGCGTTAATGGGCAGAGTGCGAAAGCGCGCTGGAATGGGCTACGATTTGCAGGCGACAGTAAAGGTGGGTCGTGGATCGAGGGCGGAATATATGAGAATCAGTATGTGCGAGAGGATACTGGATGGCGCATCGCTTCCTTACACTACTATGCGTTGTACGAAGGCACATATGAGGATGGATGGAAAAATGTGGGCGGTCGCGGAATACCAGTCATCCCATATCACTTCACGCCCGAGGGATCCGGCTTACCTATACCGACACCAGAAGGTGATGCGCCAGAGACGAACGCTACACTTCGCGATTTGGAAGTCAGGATAGAAAGTCTCAACGATGAAGACGAAGTCAGAAATCTGATGCATGCACATGGATATTACATCGATCGCCGAATGTGGACCGATGTCATCGATCTTCACACCACCAAGACGAAGGTCACGATCACAGGTCAGGGGACCTACAACGGGCTTGATGGCGTGAGGAATGCGCTGGAGAGAATGGGGCCCGAAGGCCTGACAAGAGGTGTGAACAACGACCACCCCATCTTCGACATGCTTGTCGAAGTCAGTCCTGACGGCCAGCGCGCCATCGCGCGCGGCATTGAAATCGGCATGCGCGGCGATACCAATAACAGAACAGCCTCCTGGGAGTTCAACGTCTTTCGCAACAATTTTGTCAAAGAGACTGGGGTATGGAAAGTGAAAGCGGTCGAGACGACACCCTTGATAGTCGCAGACTACTACAAGGGCTGGAGCAATGGCGTGATCAACACTCCTACCGGGTACCTACCACCCTGGGTCAATGTAGGGAGCTTTCGCGAAGCAAGCTTCCCACCGAGTAACGGTACCTCCAATGCTACAGTTGTTGACCTAGAGAGAAAATTACGCCGTTCCGCAGCCTACGACGGCACCGAGAACCAATCCCACGCTTACGGCCACGTCATCGACGACATAGACTGCGCACGAATGGGAGCACTCTTCGCAAGCCGCGGCCACAAGTCTTCCCCTTTCGCCGGCTTCTTCATCACGCCCCAGCGCATCACAGACGCTTGTTTTGCATCATACGGCACGAACCGCTCCACGATACGCTCGAGCATATCCTTCCACTGGCGTCCTCAGCCAGTCATCCTCGTCAGCCATGACGGCCGCAGCGCAACTTTGCGCGCCCGCCTCCTTCAGCCGTCGACATCTGTCTCGAAAGCAGGAAGTTTCAACTCCGCCATGTACCACGACCAAGTCGTCCTCGAGAACGGTCGCTGGCGCCTCTGGAGCGTCACCATCGATGAGTTCTACTGGCAGTCATCCTCATGGGAAGCTGGCTGGGCGAATCCCACGCCTCGCAATGCGTCCCAGCCTGATCCAGAGCCCGCAGGATGGACCAAGAAGTTTCCGCCTGACGTGACAATCGCGGAGGTGGGCGAACGGGAAGCCGGGTTTAGAGGCGGTGCGGGGAAGTTTGTGGAATGGCCCGAGATCCAGAGGATGTGGTTTGGCTATAGGAATCTGGTGAGTGGAAGGGTGCCGAGCGGGGAGAGGCTGGGATTTTGGGAGGGCTGCGTTCCGTGTAAAGTGAGGCCGGACTGGGCGTTGGAGGCGAATGGGTGGGAGGAACCTGAGGCTGGACCGGTTGGGAATAGGACGTTGAGGATGGGAAGATGAGTGAACGCGAGTCAACGCTCATTGTTTGCTGTCCAATCCATCATCAACCTCATGTATTACTCACTTTTACGGAACTCGCTGTGTCGGCAGAGTTCAATGTGGTCATAACACAGGGATGGCATGTGGGCACTGCACTCAACTGTAAAACAGAGGTCACGGCAACGACTGCAAGATATAAGTTTCAAGAAATATGTCGGAAAATCTCGAGTATCTGGATCAGATGCACGAGGCCGGTGTGAGAACGTCACTTGTCTAGTAGACCCTGAATTGCTAAGCTGCACGCTGGCGGACTTCGGTGGAGGACACCACATGGATAGTACGGAAGCTAGGCAACTTGCGGCACGTCCTAGGGAAAGCCAATCGGCATTTCGGTGTTGCTGTTCAGGGGCAGCCTTGGCGAACTCCACAACTCATCTCTTGTGAGGCTTGTCCGATCGCGCAACACCGATTCGCAGCGCGCACCAAGTTCAGAGTCACTTAGAGCGTGCTGAACGCAGGATCCGTTGAAACCGTGGACGTGACCTCATCGCAACGCGTTGCCTGTGGCTGTGTTGGAACTGGGGTGCAGGAGCCCATCGTCGCGGTATATTGCCATGCGACCGATCTCTGCCTCTTTGGCGAAATGCCCTCTCCATGCGATGTAAGATTTGGATTGCTGAGCACTTTTCCCATGGACGTTACAAGAGTCTCACGAAGATACCAATCCACATTGGCACAGGTGATATTGGGCGCTCGCGACGAAGAACAGGACCGGCGAAAGTGCGAAGTGAGCTGCTGTGCTCTTTACGCGACGCGACCTGCTCAATGTCGCAAAGAGGATGCGAACTGCTCATACGCGGGGATTGCAGCGGACCATACGCCGGTCCCCCAGTGCTATTACTCGCAATGTGGCATCCCAGCCAATTACTCGCCGTGCACCGATCTGCGACTCCAGCGCAGCCGGTGAACCGAGAAGTCCATTCGCAGAGGTCCTGTCATTGTTCAATCTCTGCTCACGCCTCAAATCCACCCTGTCGAACACAGCAGCGCAGCTCTTAAACCGTCAGAAATCTATATATACACACACGAGAGTTGACCAAGCGCTTGGTCTGAGCAACCGTGGGCGAAGCGCTGCGCCTCGTGCTCGGTTCGTTCCCACGCTTCGGACCCCAAGCAGAAAGACGTCGCATAAGTCGAATACCCGACTGCCAATCACTTCGCAGGGGTCTGCCCGTTTCGGACCAACTGCTGTCCAGAAAGGAAAATCGGCTTTCTGCCAAGGAAAGCGGGTAAGCTGGCAGCGGCATGCATATACAGGAGCTGGATGCCGCTGAAGACTTTCTGCTGGTCCTGCTGCCGCTGCGAATTGCTCTTTCCGATCCCAGGGAACGGACGTCAACGATCGTGCCTGCCACGCTCTTTTATACAGGGAAAGGACGCTCAACCCGATTGCCTATCACACATAGCTTAGGCCAGCTGCGATCCAATCAGGCAGCGACTCCCGCAATAGCCCTATACGACCTGCGCGGCTGACCGTCCCGCCGTCTTCCACTCCCACGTTCCCTCGTCTTTCTACTGCTACACCAGCGTTCCGTCGCAATGGTCAACTTTCAAAAGCTCCTCACGCTTTCGCTCATACCGACCGTCATCTTCACCATCCTCTCGTTCATATCAATCGTCCTCACGGCACACTACTGGATCCTGACGGATTACTTCGTGGGTCGATGGCTGAAACGCAAGAGTCAATTTCCAGAGAAAAACAAGTTCCAGTGGGACGATGTCATTGTTGACTATACGGAGACGTCCACGAATGCCATCATTGCGGCGGGATGCTTATGCTTGGCGGCCGGAGTAAACTGCATCATCGCGTACTTCAAGCTCAAGCCCTCAACCATGGATCTAGATTACCACTCGGTACGCCTCCTTAGTTCCTGACACGAAGGAAGCCGCATGCTCATTGAATTCTAGCCTCTAAGGAGATTCTGGGTTGGAAGTGCAATCGGTATGGCTGTTGTCGGGTTATGCTCAGCTCTCGCTGCTCTCATCACAACTTTCACCGACAAGGGCGACGACGAGTTTGGTTGCACCACAACCACTGGCAAGACCAAGGACGGTGGTGTGCCCTTCACTAATATGATGTGTTCGAGAGAGATTGCGACGTGCAAGTTCATGGGCCCGGTGTATGACAAAGCGGGGAAGATCCCTAATGTCGAGCGCTGGGCTGTTACCATTGCTTGCAATGAGGCAGTAGGTTCTTGAATAAGGAATTGGAAGAGAACAACGCTGACGAAAATAGACTGTGGTCAAGTGGCTGCAACTGGTACTTATCTTCAACGCTGTCCTCGTTATCGCCATGTTCGCTGCTCAGGCGGGAGTAAGGAGGAAGACTCGATCTCCTGCATCGAAGGGCCTATAGAGAGGGCACCGAGCATATTCTGATATAACAATGAATCTAGAAATATGCAGACGACGAGTGGTTGTCTTGGCAGCTCCGTGGCGTGTACGGGATAGATCGAAGACGGTGTGAAGGCGTGGGCACAACGAAAGGAAGAAGACGGTGGAAGGACCGAAGCGCGGCGACGATGTCGCTCGCAATATCATCAATAGACGGCTGGCAACGGTGCCACAGGGCGTTTGGGCAGATTGCGAGGGACATATTGCGCATCATGACAGCGGCAGGCTAGGTAGCTGCTCGTTCGGTAATGATAATATCTCCAAACCAAGCATCGACACCCAACACGCAACGTGAGCGTATCTCGCTGCTGACAATAAATTACCTACGCGCTGCCGCGAATGTCCAGGCTGTCGGTCACGAGAAAGTGCTATCGTTACCAGACCAGTCTTCACAACGACCAAACATAATGTAATGCTTCGAAATTCTTGCGCGGGTCTAGATGGTCTTGGGTTGCCTGTAGTGGTGTCTGTACATAAAGGTGATCTAAGGTTGAAACCAGCCACGTAATCCTAATGGTTTGTCCCCCAACACTCGAGTTCAATAGCATCTGACATATTTTAGATTTCTAACTAGATCAGGGCTAATACATGCGGGGCTTCTATTGTCTGGGTGACCAAAGATCTCCTTGAGCTTCACTCGCACACCTCTATGAAAGCTGTACACGTACTTCACCAGCAACCTGAGCTATGGAGGTGTTGCGTCACCAACGATCATATGCACCATAGAGCATACATGTTGGGTACGAGAGCCTTCGATACGCCCGTGCCGTCTGCCAATAATCGGGCAAGGGAGAATCCACACCACTCTCTTTGTTGCGCCCAACCCGGATCTCTCTTTGGAAGAGCACACCGCGCTGGTAGACGAAATTTGACCACGGGTCGAGGAGGCAAACCGCCTCATCCCTGCCCAAGGTCGGATAATGCGCGGTAGCGTCCTAGTTTCCATGCCAGACAAACCATTCATCAGGGCAGGGAAGGGTACTATAGTCAGGAAGCTGACTGAGAACCTATACAAATCGGAGACCGAGGAGCTGTACGCAAATAGATCCGTTGCTCCCTCGAAAGAAATTCCTCGCCTGCAAGCAACCAAGAAATGTCATTATGAGCTAAGCATGATTCTCAGCTTTGTTCGAGAAATCATCACGTGCTCATTTCCTGAGCTTTCAGCTATCCAAGACGACGAAGACCTTTACTCCTATGACCTCGACTCTGTCATGATGGGTTAGCTCCTCAGAAACTTCAAAGGCGGCCTCGAGGATCGTACGCCGGTCGAAGATCTCTCGTGGTTCGACATTCACGTAGTACATCGCAACCCCTCGATCCTTCGACTGTCGCAGCTTCTTGTCCACTTTCTCAACACCGCACAACCCCAAAACCACATGCTCTACATTCGCGGACTTCAGCTATGGAGGGTCTGGTACAGAAGTATTCGCAAGGCCTAGAGAAGCTGTCGACACCTGTGAAAGAGGACATTGGTCCTCGTAACGTGGCACTCGTCGGCTCCACCGGATACTTGGGCCCTCACCTTCTCGCATCCATTTTGAAGCTCCCAAGCATAGCATCAGTCTACTGGCTCAACTCTGGCTCAACCGTGGGTTTGATGCCTGCGGGATGACAGAAAAAACTCTGAAAAGTACTGGCTATCAAGAAATCGAGTGCTCCCGGAGCATTCAATTTTTTGTAGCCAATCTTGCCAGTGCCAAGCTTGGGCTTAGCGATGGCGACTTCAGTGAGGTCTCTGTCAAGGTCGATACCATCATGCACAACTCATGGCACCCAAGCTTCAGCCTTTCGCTTTCCTTCTTCGAAAAGCCTTTCCTATTAGGCCTGCGGAAAATTGTTGACTGGGCAAGGCGTAGGCCTACACCTCCACGTTTTGTCTTCATCTCTTCTATCGCAGGAGTTGGAAATTGGTCGAAGGTCGTCCCATCACAACCTCATATTCCGGAGTCTCGAATCGAGGATCCCGACGTTGCTATGCATATGGGCTACGGCGAATCGAAGCGTGCAGGTCAACATATGCTACAAATCGCACATGATGTATGCGGAATACCTATCAGCGTCGTTCGAATCGGCCAGATTTGCGGCCCAAGCACGCAGTCTGGTGGGAAATGGCCTACGCAGGGGTGGTTGCTTGCTATTGATACGACTTCAAAGGCACTAGGTGCTTTGCCGACCCGGGTGGCTCCGGTGAACTGGATCCCGGCGGACGCCCTTGCTACACAGATCACTTGTGTTGTCACACATGCCTCGACTTCGGTCGAGTATCATGTCTTCAACGTGGTTTATCCAGATGTGGCTTCTTGGGAGTTGTTCTTGAACGTCTTACGCAATCGTTTCAGTGTCGATGCTGGAAGAATAAGCCTTCCCGAGTGGCTGAACAGGCTCGAGGAGAGGGCAAATTTGAATCTCGAAGAGCAGAAAAAGTATGTTGCCCTAAGATTCTCCGACTTCTTGCGGTCTATGGGCGACTGGCAGAGAAGATATGACAAGTAAGTCTGAAAACACTGCGAAGGTTTCTCAGCTGCATATGGCACCTCTCACTTAGGACCTGCTGGCAAACTGGCTCGAGGGATGGGAATTCCAAGACTTTGGAATATCACAAAGCAGCCGTCGTTGGCAGCAAGAAGCAGGAAGCTCGGTGGGACCTTCATGCGCTCGCTCAGGCCCAAAACTCCTCTTTGCTCCATCGCCGTAGCTTAGATGCTATTGATCAGCTACTGTTGCATCAAAATATTTGATGGTCATTTTCTATTCAAATTAAATGCCAAATTTCCTTGCTCCTCCATACTGATGCACATATTTTGTTTCCGAAAAACCGGGATCCATGCGCAAAATAACTATAAACACAAACACCCGACGCCGGTTTATTCACGAACAGAACTTTCCCCATCTCAACACGAAAGTGGTTCTGGGTTTACCTTTTGCTGACTAGCCATGTCAGAACAGTGGAACCCAAGAACCAGAGGAAGCCAAAGAACCGCACAAGCGACAAGATTGCTGTAGCATAGAGCAGAACGCGGAAGTAATATGGTGTTCTCGTGGTCAACGCCTCCTGTTCAATTGATTAGCATCTGCTTAAATTGGTTCCTATGAAACACGTACCCCGACACCATAGTCGATGAAGACATCGCTGGTGATAGCAATGATCAACGCGATATTGGACAATAGCCAGGAGTACACAATCCCAGTGCGAAAGCTCTTATACGAATCCTCGGCTTCCTTGCGCTGTGATCCACCATCGTAAGGCTTGCTGGGAGTAAGGGCGCGTCTGACAACTTGCTCAAATTTTGCATCGAGATCGTCTTGTCCCTGTACTATTTCTAAAACGGCTGGTACTTTCCCTCTGGTGATGGTAGCGGACGGTAGAGACTCGGCAACATCGGATCCCTTGGTGCCCCAACTGACGTCGTGCCAGTTGTTGAACGCGTATACCATGAGTATATTGATATACGTCGACATGAGAACAAGATATTGCGGAAAAGAATGAAACATATGCCATGGATCGAGGTAAAGGAAACTCGCAACGAAGTTCAAGCCGTAGATAGTGATGATCGCGATCAGGATCAAGCCTGCTACTCCGGTGTCACCGCGAAAGAAGGAGTCAAAGAAGGCTTTACCGGAACCGACACGTATTTGATCTTCGATAGGCGCGGCGCTGAAAGCTCGATAAACCAGATATACAGTCAGGACCATAACGTACGTTTGGATAGCACCGAAAACGACGAAAGAAGCTATGTAGCTCTTTCGCGCGCCTTTCGGTCGGTTTCCTAAAGCGAGAATGAATTGCAAGATCAAGAAAGCCACATATATCCATCGGACGACGGTATTGAATATTGGGCTTGCCTTGTCGCCAAATGGCCATCCGTGATAATCCGCCTCGGGCTGGGGATTGCCAACAAGGGTCATGAGAACGGTCGTGGTCAGGTAGTATGAGGCGAGAGAAAACCATGTGAAGATGACTTGGGTCACGTTGTACACGAGCTGGACGTGCAGGAAGAAGAGGCGTATGATACCGTGGCCTGATCGATACAGTCGAGAAAAGTGCATGATCGAGTACAGGGATGCTGCAAAGGACCCATTGAGCCATCGTCGTCTTTGTCCAATGAACTCCGCGGCTCCATTGGGAACGTCGGTTTCTCCTTTCGATGCTTTTACGTAGGAAAGGTGCCTAATGTTCACATTAGTATCTGTCGAAGATCCCATTGGACGCAACGCACCAGCTCTGCCCAGCTTTCGCCACTAGTTCGAAGCATAATATTCGATCCTCAGCCAAGAACATATTCTTCTTGAAGATGTTCATTCCGTCAATGCCCTTTGGTCCCAGCAACTTTGATAGAGTGTGATCTCCGTGGAAATACTGTTCAAGAGGACGTCCCATAATCGCTCTGAAGCTAGAGAATAGCAAAACGCAGAGTGAGCTCAGATCGACCCCATGTTCGGATCGCCCATACTTACCGATATGCAGAAAACGCTCCAGGTAGGACACTCACGTATCCGAAAGCACTTTCTAGGGGTTTGTCGAGAACGTTGGAGATTTTGTACTCAAAGTTTTGGACGGCGACCAATGGGTTGAGCAACGCTTTTCCGCCTTCCAGCATAGCATGAATTTCCCCACAGGCACCGCCTAGATGTTTGTCGTTGTAGAATGCCTCCCAGAGCGATAGCAACGAGCGAGGGCCAGGCTTGGTTCCAGCGTCAATCAAGATTGCGACTTCCGGGTTTAGGATTCTGCCAAACGCGTTGAACAACCAACGATGAGAGTTGATCTTCTTGCTGTTCTTCTGCTTGAGGCAGAATATAAATTGTACAGGTGGAAGATTAGCCCCAGATTCGTCATTAGCTTTAGGCTGGACAAGGTGATGTTCTGGTGTAACAGAGATCTGGCTGGTGTACTCAAAGATGTGCGCCACCGTCTCTTTGCCATTGACATCTTTCTTGAGGATTCCATCTTGGTAAATTCCAACAGTGGCCAAGATGTCGAATACTTCTTTGTCCACGTTGTCAATACCATCAAATACAAGGCACACCACGATCTTTTGCCAAGCAGGCCCACCCACATTCCAAAATTTAGATCGCTTCAGCCTGGCGATATCGCGCATGTTACGCATGGTGCCGTGCAAGGTGCGAGCAAGGAGGGTCTTCAAATCGTTATTATAAGAATGCTCAATAGGAATCTACATGGATTGCAGATTGCGCCGAGATAGGGCTCTTCCTGACCTTGTCTTCGTTGTAATACGTGATGGCGATAAGCAGCTCTGTGTGTCGCCCGTACATGGCTGGACGAAGATTGTAACCGTTGGCAAGAGTGAAGTCGTTTGGGTCACATGTAGCTGCAGTGTACCGCAGCTTAGTGAACTCCTCACCAAAACTGCCTTCAGCGTGACGATGGCGCGGTTCAATTGCGTTCTGTATTGCACTTGGAATGGGATAGTCAACGCTCAAGATCGAGCCCTGAACGAGTTTGATTTTACGAGTCTTGGAACGTTTGACACCGGCACCCTGCCGAACGGTTTGCTGCCGCCGTACCCAGCTGTTTTCAGTGCGTGCAGGATCATCGCCGGAGCTGTAGCCGTGTGCTTCGTCGTCGGCAAAACTGTACGAAGAAGACAGCGGCCGTGGCTGGTCATAATGCGACTCATGCTCGAAACTGTAATTAGAAGACAGTGGCGTCGGAGGATCGTAATGCTGCGACTGGTGATGAGCGTCGTCGTCCAGCAGCCGGTGATTAACGTCTGGCGAATGCAACGGATGCTCCAGATCTCTTTGAGGGGTCTCAGGACTGTCCACTGGGGTCGCAGCGGGTGGTAAATCTGGAAGGTCATGTAGCTGATACCCATCTTCTATCCGGTATCCGGGAGGCCGGTCCATAGCCTTTTCGTGTGACCCAATGGGATGTTGATATCACGTGCAAGGTGATTTGCTTATCAAGTTGTGAAAGTAAATAAAGTAGTAGAAACAGATGGATTGTGGATATTGACGAGAAATTGAGAGCAGAGCAGTAGAGAAGCCTTCGTGGCCGCGCAATCCGCCGGCTCGAGTTGCCGTAGCCATCGACGAAAAGGTTCGGCGTGTGGCCGGCTAAAAATAGTCGGCTACGAAGGTGCTCGTCATGGCCGGAAACCGCGGAGCAGCGGAGCAGCGAATAGTCGTGGAAGAGACCCATGGAAAGGGTGCGACCATCGTCATAGTGCCTGTCTGGTGGAGACGATCAAGTGTGTGGATGCAAGCGCCCCAGAGTTTCGATGGACGCGGGGACGCGTTCTTACGTGGCGTGTGATTCTAGACAGTCACGTGACTAAATCGTCTCAAGACCTCAGCCACCGCCCAATGGCGTACAATGGTGACCGAAATCAGTTTCCGGTTCCTATACTTCGGTTATTCCGCGCGCACGGCCGCTAGAAAGGCTTCATACCAAATAGGCAATAGCGCTTGCAGGGGTGGTACTTAAGGCTTAGCAAGTGGCGACATTACAAGCTGCGCCACATGTACCTCAACCTACCTGTTCTCTATACATTTTGAAACATGTACAAGGTCAGGGCAGGTGTGGGTCGGCCATCCGGCTCGCATGGTGGCGGTGTCATATAAGCATGCATACTCTCCAGTTTTTGAAATGGCTTAATAAGGCTAAACGCAATATCAGCTCGTATAAGCTTAGCGGTTTGCACAGGCCATTCTCCTCAGCCGCAAAGATCCCTCCTCGTCCTTGCTGCACACCAGTATCTTTCTCACGCTGCCTTTCTCACAGTATCTTGTTGATACCCTGCACACAGCTCTATATATCGCTCTCTCATTTGTCATGCATCTTGTGCGCCTTGAAGATGATGGCGAGTTCAGCCTTGTCAGGGTCCTAGGCAACAGCGTTCCAGCCTATGCAATATTGTCACATACTTGGGGAACAAAGGAAGAAGAAGAAGTCACATACCAAGATCTACAGCAAGCAAAAGGTAAAGAGAAGAAGGGTTACTGTAAACTCACCTTTTGTGGGGAACAAGCTGCCAAGAATGGACTGAGACACTTCTGGATTGATACCTGCTGCATCGACAAGTCAAGTAGTGCTGAGCTCTCCGAAGCAATCACGTCTATGTTTCGCTGGTATCAGAACTCGGCCCAGTGCTACGTTTACCTATCAGACGTCTCAACAAGTAAACGAAAAGCGGATCACGACCAATTTAGCAATACTTGGGAGCCGGCTTTCCGAACAAGCAGATGGTTCACACGCGGCTGGACCCTTCAAGAACTTATTGCTCCCCATCGAGTAACATTTTTTTCCAAAGAAGGCAATTACTTAGGCAACAAATCAAGCCTGGAGCAATTGATCCATGACATCACCTTCGTTCCTATACCTGCTCTCCGCAACGCTCCCCTAGAGGAATTTAATGTGGAGCAGCGCATATCATGGATCGGTGATCGGCAGACCACGCGCGAAGAGGACATGGCTTATTCCATGCTAGGTATTGTAGGGGTTAGTATGCTGCCAATATACGGAGAAGGAAAGGACAGGGCACTTAGGCGTCTTCGGAGAGAGATAAGAGAAACCTCAAGTGAATCGATGCCTACACTGAATGAGGAGCAGAAAAGGAGCCTCCTAGAGTCTTTAAGATTTGAACAGATCGATGCGCGCCAGGTGACGATTAAGAACGCTCACGCTAAGACATGCAAATGGCTCCTGAAGTGTCGGCAGTATCTCGACTGGCTCGATGAGTCCAAGCTAGACGAACACTACGGCTTTTTATGGATTAAAGGAAAGGCTGGCGCCGGCAAGTCGACGTTAATGAAGTTCGCCTTCCTTAATGCCCGTAAGAAGATGAAGAAGCATATCATACTGTCCTTCTTCTTCAATGCACGTGGAGAAGATATGGAGAAGTCTACAATTGGAGCATATCGATCGCTGCTGTTACAGCTTCTCGAACGTCTTCCCGTGCTCCAGAGCACCTTCGACCTGCTCGGCATATCAGCATCGAGCTTCAGCACAGACCATCAGTGGAGCGTTGAGTTGCTCAAAATGCTGCTGGAACAAGCTCTGCAAGAACTTGAAGAGACTCGCGTAGTGTGCTTCATCGACGCACTAGACGAATGCGATGAAGAACAAGTTCGGGACATGCTCCAATTCTTCGAGCGTATCGGCGAGATTGCTGTGTCAGCCAACATCCGGTTCCAGGTCTGCTTCTCAAGTAGACACTACCCACACATCACGATCCGGAAGGGCCTTGAATTGGTGCTAGAAGGACAAGAAGGTCACACTCAAGATATCGCTAACTACGTCGAGACTGAGCTGAAGATTGGACAGAGCAAGATCGCTCAGCAGATACGTTTGGAACTTGAGGAGAAGGCATCAGGTATCTTCATGTGGGTTGTTCTTGTCATAGGCATCTTGAATAAAGAATGGGATCGCGGCCAAATCCATGCGCTCCAGCGGAAGCTGCAGGAGATTCCCAACGACTTACACGAGCTCTTTCGCGACATCTTGACACGTGACTCGTACAACAAGGATGGCCTGGTGCTATGCATCCAATGGGTACTCTTCGCGAAGCAGCCGCTAAGTCCGGAGCAGTTCTATCATGCCATGCTTTCAGGCGTCGATCCGGATGCAGTGTCGGCATGGGATTCCGAGGAGATCACCAAAGATGTGCTAAAGCGCTTCATTCTCGACTGCTCGAAAGGTCTCATCGAGATGACCATGTCCAAGAAACAGAAGGTCCAGTTCATACATGAGTCAGTGCGAGACTTCCTGATCAAAGAGAAAGGACTCAGTAAAATCTGGCCCGAGCTCGGGAGCAATTTTCAAGGCCAGAGCCATGAGCGACTAAAGCAGTGCTGCTGCTCATACATAAAAATCGACGTTGCGACATCTTTAAACATCCCTGGTAGCCTTCCAAAGGCTTCTTCGCATCAAGCAGCGAGCATGCGCACATTGGCGATGCAAAGATTCCCATTGCTAGAGTACGCTGTACGCAACGTGCTGCATCATGCAGATGTAGCAGAAGGCAGTGGTGTTTCCCAGGAACGCTTTGTCGAAAGCTTTCCACCTCCTCAATGGGTCAAGCTAGACAACCTATTCGAGAAGCACGAAGTGCGTAGACATTCAGAACGCGTTAGTTGTCTATATCTGCTTGCCGAGCTTAACATGGCCAATCTCATCAAAGTCTGCCGGTTAGTTGATCAATGCATGACAGTCGAGGTTGAACGCTACGGCTGCCCTCTCTTCGCGGCGGCTGCCACTGGCAGTAAGGAGGCGCTTGAGCTGTGTATAAAGTCTACCATAACGGACCAAGCTACCAGAATACTTCTTCATGGGGCGGACGAACCCAAGTCCCAACGAGAGCTGGCCCAGCGCACCGCAAGACGAGACTTTGTTTACATGAAAAGCAAAGGATTCCTGATGAATGCAGCAGAACTGGGGCACGACATTGTTCTTACATATTTGTTGAACTCAGAGAACTACGAGATGCATTTAAAGGACTCAAGAGATAGGACTGTGTTGTGGTGGGCTTCTAAGAACGGATGTAAGCACGCGGTGAGTTCGTTACTCGTCGCAAGTTCTGCTACAGTCAACAGCAAGGACAAAGACAACAAAACGCCATTGTACGTTGCAGCGGAGACCGGAAACTACGCAGTAGTTGCAGTACTCCTCAGCAAGGGTGCCGACGTCAACGCGCAGGGTGGATTCTACGGCAACGCACTCCAGGCTGCTTCATGGAGAGGCCACGAGGGGATTGTGAAGGTGCTGCTCGACAACGGCGCTGAGGTCAACGCGCAGGGTGGAAAGTATGACAACTCACTCTACGCGGCTTCATGGGAAGGCCACGAGGCGGTTGTGAAGGTGCTGCTCGACAACGGCGCTGAGGTCAACGCGGAGGGTGGATTCTACGCCAACGCACTCTACGCGGCTTCAGCAGAAGGCCACGAGGCGATTGCGAAGCTGCTGCTCGACAAGGGCGCCGAGGTCAACGCGCAGGGTGGAAAGTATGGCAATGCACTCCAGGCGGCTTCATATGGAGGCCACGAGACGGTTGTGAATGTGCTGCTCGACAACGGCGCTGAGGTCAACGCGGAGGGTGGA